CACTTTTTTTGGTGGGGGGAGGTGAGGCAAAGCCCCTCAAGGTAACTCCAAGTTTAAAATAAAATGTGTAGTACGAAAAAAATTATATTTTAGCCTCTGAGTAGCTGAAGTATGTTACAAAAGTATTGGACATAACATTATCAAGATATCTAATTGTTGTTCCGTATCTGGTGGTAGGTTCTCTTGGATTGTTATTAATTTTTAATTGAAATTCTTCTTGGAGAAACGTAATTAACGGCGTTGATTTATCTTTTGCAAAATTTACATTGAAATCCCCAGCTAAAATCAATGGTAGTTTGTCTTTGTTGGTTTTGAAAATTATTGAACGTCTGTGACTGAACGGAAATAATCTCTAGTGTAAAAATGAAATTATGTCATTTATTTTTTTATTTGGTGAAATGTACACAACAATCATCATCATTTCATTTCCATCTTCTAGTTTAACGTGTGAAGCACATATATCGCCAATAGATTTTTGAACATTTTGAACTACTAAATCCATGTTGAACATTTAACATATTAAAGGCTGGAAATACCGACGACAGACAACAGGCGACCTTTATCGGCAAAACATTTCGTATAAAAAGCGAAATCTATCAGAAATTATCATAAATTATATTGTACCTTGCCAAAAATAAGTAGAGTTTGGACTTTGTGCTGTCTTTTTAGATAATTTTAATGATTTTCTTACCTTCTTAACGAGAAGAGTGTTCCCGGTTATGACATTCTGACGACAGCAGTCGTAGCTATTTATAACGCATTTTCGAGAATAATGACTAATATGGTTATCGTTTGGCAATACCTATCGACAGTTGTCAAATCATTAATTTAAATACATATTATCACAATAGTTATGGCAGAAATGAATATAAACAAGAGGTTAAAAAATTAAAATTAAATAATAGCAAATCATAATTAATATCACGTTTTATCATTTTTATTGATCAAAAAAAAAAAAATTTTAAATTAATCAATAAACAATAATAAATTAACAAAACAAACACATCAACACATATCTGAAGTATAACACTACATTAGAAAATATTTCAACTATAATTTTAGTTTTGTTCATTATATTATATACACTAAAAGTTTAACAATACAATACACACTCAAATATTAAATAGAAAAGCTGAAATATAATATACAAATATATTTTGCACATGACATTTGTTAAAAATACGTATAGGTAGAATAGTATTATCATATAATATAATATGTATAAGGTATTTAACACACAAATAATGAAAATAAAAAAACAAATTATCGTTATTATAACTATTTATAAGTTACGTGTTCATAATATTAAGGAAATAGCCAATACAATATAGGTAGGTACTAGGTAGGTAGGTAGTAAAAGAAAAGCTAAGGTAACATATATTATTATAATCAAGACAAACAAATTGGTTATCCAATTTATTGGTTGGTTATTACCTATTGGTAATATTACGTCTATAAAAATTAAAATATGGGTTGGTAAGTAGTAGCTGTACCAAGGTAGGATACACTCAACTTAATTATTGATTTTTATAATAATACACATGAATAATAATATACAAAAAATAGCTATAGCATTATGATATGAATGCGAGTTACAGAGGAAAAAGACTGACAGAAGAATACCTTTTGGAATTTACACAAGACAAAAAAAAAAGGTATAATATTATTTATTTATGTCAAGGGTGTAGCCAAATAACATTTTCGAGGAGGTTTTACAATTTTTATCTGTTATAGATATTAGAGGTAATAGAATAGTAAAAAAAATTACATTTTTCGTTGTAATACTTACAAAAATTATCATACTTTTGTCTGTCTGTATAATATTGTAATTTTATTGAATTTTTTATTAATGAAGATATTAATATTTAAAAAGAAACACTCGAAGACTTCCAAATACACCCTTGACTTCCAAAATATACGTTTAAATTAAATTATATGTATACTATTATTATAAATATCGGGAATGGTTACAATTTTATTATTATAATCATACAGGTCTACAAAAATATATTATAATATGCGGGGGTAAATACATTTGGTCACATATACGGTTTTTTAATATATATAATTATTGTTTGCACTTTACACTAAGTGGTTATAATATTATTATGATTTATAATGTAAGCTGCCAGAATATACGAAGATAAGAGATAGATTATGTTGATTATACATTTACACATGAATAAAACGGTTTAATGCCGTATATTTTGGTCAGTTCAATTATCACAATTGTTTATAATAATGAGGTATATTATATTATATATTTTGCTAAGTAGGTAAGTAGGCATTATGTTGTTTGATTCTTATGAAATTATGAATCCACATTATTAAAGCTTTATAGCTTATAGTTTTATAAATATGATTAATAATGTTCGTTCTTTCTAGGTTTTGAATTTGTGATGAAAAAAAAATGATAATAATAAATAATGAATCCAAAAAACAATAATGTATTGCATATTCACATGATTCTATTGTTAAGTTTTTATTACAGTCACTACCTGCCAATACAAATATATTAATAACAATTTGATGTTATAAAGCGTTTATAGGTACTATTTTTTTTTTATTAAAATCATAAATCAAATTAAATAATTACCAATGCGATATAGTCAAAAATTATAAATTTGAATTATAAAAGGAACATAAAACAACACATTATAGCGAACAGGGAGAGTCAAAATGATAACGATAATCTTATATCTATCAATTTAAAATTTAGAATTTAACTCATTAAAACGTTGACATAATTTGCAATGATAATATTTTCTCTATCGATCTAAAATGAAAATTTTTTATTTTTCCATAAAAAAAATACATAATTGTAGGTACATAATTTCACAGTTGGTATTTTATAAATTGAGCCAAAGTTACATGGTAGGTATAATGAAACACTGTATTATCTATGATAAGTATATCTCACAAATTCTAAGAACCTATATACTACCTTCTTAGTTATTATAAACAGTATATTTGGTACAACCTGGTATTATAAATCTTGAATTGTATTTTTAAATTTCAAAAGTTAAAACTAATTTGAACTTATAAATTTGTAATTTTTTTTTTTTTAAATAAATAAGCATTAAGTATTATTAAATTAATTAAATTATCTTTATAAATTTCACAACCAAATAGTAAAAAATTGCAAATTGGACATATAGTGCTTCAAATATTTGAAGTTTTCTTTAATTTTATATTATGAATTCTCAAAGAATAATAAACTATCACATCAAAACATTTGGTGATTTTCACAATTTAATAAAATTAAGTTGAATAAAAGTTTTTAAGGAGTTATATATAGGCAATTTCCTAAGTCCATGTGTGTTGTGGAAACGTGTGTGTAGTTAGTAGGCACTGGATTTTTGTTAAGGGAGGGGGGCTTAAAAATGTTCTTACTTTCCATACACACAAGTAAACAATTTTTACACATATGTATACGTATTTCCTTATCACATACTAATTGAACTATTTATTTGTGGGTATCTAACGTTTACTATATTTGTGACAATATGCTATAATATATAATTTAATGTAAAAAATATTTTTTTTGGGGGGAGGCTTCAGCCCAAAAGCCCCCTTCCACCTGGGTGCACCATTAGTAGTAAGTGATCATTAGTATGTAAAGTGTGACTGTAGTATTACAAAAATAGTGGAGAGCTTCAATAAGTTGATAAGGTGATAGAAGAATATTAATATTAATATTTTTTTTCTAACAATATCAATATTTTGCAAATTGTAGACCAACCTATTTATCTGATAAAGTTTCAAGAATCATATTAGAATTCCTCATGAAATTTACTTGAAAACGACATTCTTGCATATTTATTAAAAATTAAGAATTTGAATTTGAAGTGTTCAGTTTCAAAAAGTGGGAAAGTTGTTTTCAATTAAACTTCATGACAAATATAAATATTATTTTCATAACTTGAGAAGTCTTAACTGACCACTAGGATTGTTGGTACAAGTAGGATAAAATATGGGTCTATTTTGGTAGAAAACACAGCCCGGATCGAATCCCTTTAAACGAAAAAATTTGTAAACTATGATGTGGAGAGTGGACCCTGTTAAATATTAACTAATTTTTAATTGATTTATTTAACTGAATTTTTCTTGAGATGTTGGAACATTGCAATTATAAAAAATGTATAAATGTAATAGTGATGTTTTTGAAGGTAAAAATGTTCGCAAGTAATTTCACACAAAATAGTGCATTATGGACAAAAAATGATTGCCTAAAATTGATTTGTCCAACATTTTATTGATTTTTTAAATTTGTATATTCTTTTAATTATACTGATTTATTTACAATAACATTATATAATTATAAGTGTATATGAATCATAATGAAGAGATCAACAAATATAGTGTAATATGATAACATAATAATCATAATACTAATAATATAAAAAGCAATCAGATATCATTCAGTTCATTTATCATGGAAATTGGAAAGACTTAGTTAATAAATGATATAATAACTAAACATTATACAAATAATAAATATAATAGGATAAAAATAAAATTAGAGAGTAAATGGAGGGTTGATAACAGCTACCAAAAAGTTCAAGTAAATTATTACTAAATATCAATTGACAAAATTATACTTATAAATAAATTAGTGGAATATTTAAATATTAGGTTTCATTACCCACGTATGTCTACTAAAATATGGTACGTTCTATTTATTGCATGTTTTGGCGAGTTATAATGCACTGGCACTAAAATTAAATGCGTTCGGTCTCGAGTGAATTTCCGATCGGTATGTCAACAAGGGCCGCGTACTCAATGTATCAGACTCGCCAGTGATTTGTGATTGTAGTCTCACCAATTATTGAGAGTCCGAAATACTGATTTAAACGCCATGTTAACGGATTATGTTACAACACATTACTATTATTATTTTTACTATTACAAACAATACAATGGATATTACGACCACAATATTTTATAAATACCTTAAAAACAATATTTATACGATTCACCCAGAGAACAGTTAACCACAATCACTGGGGAGCGTTCCTCCTTTGTCTAGGACCAGCAGTGTTGTTGTGATGGTGGTGGTGGTGATGGTGGTGGTGTCGGTGCGTGTTGGAAGAATAACCACCTCTCGGGTTAAGCATGTTTAACACCAACGTGGAGCCGAGCGCTAGCCTCGTGCCCGCCGACTGTTGGCCACGGTCTGGCAGCTTTATCAGCAGCGTAGTGACTGCCGCGTTTGCGTCGCTGGTTGGTTCTATCGCCAACGGCCTGATGTCACCAAACCTGGTCACCTGGCTGTTGTTAGTCTCCGGCTGCTGCTGGGGCGTGCTGCAGTTCAGAACGATGGCCACAAAAGCGAACGGTCTCTTGGCCATGTGCAACATCTCCACGACCTGCTGGCGACGAGCGCGTCGCATGTCAGCTGCCTGAATGTCGAAAAAAAAACTACATTTTAATAAAAATTCACATTAAATTATTACGCAATATATTATACATTCTAATCTAATCATATTATTTTACCGTAATCACAAAAATATATGGAAAATTCATAAAAATCAAGTTGATGCAGAAGGGTTGTATACTCATACTTATGAATAGTGCAAATTAAAGCTAATACGCTTATTATATGATTGAAAATGAATAACACTTTGGATTAAATTACATTATATCCGTTATGAATATATCAAGTGATTATTTTATAATTTAAGGTACCTAACTATACATGAAATAACCTAACTATATACATAAGTACCTAACTTATGGGTATATAACTTATAATATCATTATGGTAAAATTTACATATTATCAACAAGTAGGTAAGCTGGAATAGACATCTAAAACATTTGCCCCATTCAAAGGATAGATAGGTTTACCGAATCGAAAGAAATACCTATATGAATAGGTTCCCTATAATAGAATATGGGCTTCATGACTGAATGCCTGGATTACTAGCGGAAGAAGAAACATAGGTTGTCATATTAATTGTTCTCTTTCTCCTGTGAAATTTGCTATTTTACCCTTTACTATTTTACTTTTGTTGTACAGATTTATATTTAATTTATCTAATGACTTTAATAGCCACAATTATTAATAACAGTAATAATAATAAATTAATAAATTAGAAATAAATATTGTCAATGTAATTTGTATGAGTATTTTTAGGTAGGATTCCTGACAAAATACAACATAAATCCATTTCCAGTTCTCAAAACTAATGACACCTCTACGACCTATACATGTAGTTAAGATGTGGTATTATTTACTTGTTTTGCTTTCCATCCAACAACGCATACAGCAAGAAACAAAAAGAAACACGAGAAAAATACAGAGAAAAACACAAAGAGATCAATATGAAGTTGGTCTTGTCTAAAAAACACTGTTCCATAAGTTGGGACAGGTACTAAATGAGTGGCTTGAGCAGGTAACGATGAGATCGCTAACAACGCCATGTAATATCTTGTTGCTGATAGGTCATGTTTGTCATGTGGAAGTGTAATGATCAATCTGAAAAACAAATTACATAATAATAATATAATACATAGGTACTATATAGTATTTTGACCATTAACATACCTATTGTTGACATTTTTCACCATTAGCAGGGACATACTCTTTTTCAATGTTACGTATGTAGACAAACCTTTGGTTTTGTGCTCTTGATATGTAAATAAATGTCTACCTTTTGAAGAATTTGAGCTACTACTCACACGTTCAATCGTTTCCATTTCACTAAACCACTCAAACCTGAAAAAATGTGCCAAGTTTAAACTATTTAATTATGGGTCAAATTATCTACCATCCAACTTTATCAATGAATTATATTACCTTGGATCAAAATCAAAAACATTTCTATTAAGTGACTTATTTTTAGTAACTATGAAAATATCCTCATGTGATGTTAAGAAGAAATCGACAGCGCCTTGTGTTATGTCAACAGTGATTCTGATATCGACATTCATAAAACGTGGTTGAACAACGAAAAACGACTAAAACAAAAAAGAATACCATTAAAAAAGCATTACAATAAAACATAATACTTTACTTTCAAGATAATTTATATGGTGAACATTTAAAAAAAATTATATTTTAATATTGTTATTTTAAATAATAACATAATATATTAAGGATTAGTAGTTGTCACAAGTGTTATGTGTTAGATATTATAATATTGATCTATTATAGGTTTATCAATAACAAAAATGATCAAGTATACGAGATTTGAATTTGTTGCAACATTCAAAAAATATTAAGTCAGTACTAAAAATGTTTAGGAAAATAGAAATACCTTAGTAAATTATTGTAAAATGATTAACCACTGATGTCTATTTTTACATAAGGGCGTCAGAGCTGGTACATTATTAGTACAAAAATATGTCTTACAGGAAAAACGCTAGCTCTGTAGAAAAGTCAGTTTGTTAATTTTTTTTATTTAAAAGAAGAGAGCATTTTGCAGGTCAGATCAATGCCTGATTTTCAAAACTATAATTATAGATGCTAAAATATGCATTTGAATAATGAACAATGTTTGTTTTTTTTTTAAAAGTATTTTTCTAGCACTAATTAAAGTAAAATAAAAATATTTGACCCAATCTGAAAAAAAGTTCTCATCTTTCAGATAAAAAAAAATTATCAAAATTCAATTTCTCAATGGGGTGTGAGAGTTTTTCCTATGAAATCATTTTTGTTGATATAATACACCATGTATCAACCCACCCTAAGTAGGTATTGGGCAGTGAAAAAATATTATTATTAAGATAGCAACTAAAATTTAAACTTTAAAGTATATTTTCAATTCGCTTAGAATTGGGGAAAATTGGAAAAACTGGCGCCAAAAGCCTTAAGTATTTGATAATAATTGTAATTTTGATGGAAGCAAGGAATTTTATATAGAAACAATTATTGATAAAAAAAACTATGATACAAGTTGGTGATTTTAAAATTTAATTTTTGCTTGATGTAAAGAAAAAATATCAGAAAGTGAAGTTATAGTTGAGCACCACTAAGAATTATTTTTTGACTGATTTGATTTATCACTGTTAATAGGACTAATAGGTTAAATCTTAAAAGGTATACTACTAGTATATATTAATGTAATAAAAGTATGGAAAGTAAGGTCTGATTAATTTTTATTTATCTTATTTCTATGACAATAACTATTAAAGATTTCAAGTGAAATTTGCGATTTTACAAAAGTAACATAATGGATATTATAGTAAAATGTTTTACAAACATTGTAAATATGTTTCTTCTTATTATAAAGTACATATTTTGATGGAATATAATATTTATTATTTTTATTATTTTAGTGCATACCGTTTGTCCTGGGTAAAGCGGATTAGGTTTTGTTTTACACTCATCAAGCAGTTTGGCATCAAGGCAAAACCTTAAGTCTACACTCATTTGTTTGTAACACTGATGGCCATCAGTTGGTGTACCCATATATGATTCTCTGCACTTTGAACACTGTTGCATCCAACACAGCTGAACAGTATTTTTTAATGTTCGATGATGAGGTACGCCCCCTGACTGACAGTTTGTGTCACTTTCAGTATTGTTTTGACAATCACATTTTTCTCCAGTAATTGGATCACATGTACTCCCATGACCATGACATTCACATGGTCTACAAATAAAGATTAATAGTACATATTAAATTTAGTTGATGATATAATTTATTGAAGATAATATAAATCCATATTTAAAATATGACACTTGCCTACAAGGATCTCGATTATCACTAGAACCTCGAAAATGGCCAGATAAACAACCCGAACATGTAGGACCGGTTGTGTTGTCCATACAATTAATGCAATATGCATCAGAAAGAGGTCCATCATTTTGCATAAGATTAGTATTAGGATCATTTAAAATACTTAGAGCATCAAATGGTTCATTATCGTATTTTTCAACACATACTTGAGCATGTCCATTACAATAATCTGAGCATGGTATACATTGGCCATGATCCACTGGGTTACCAACATAAAATAGTTTACACCGTTGACATTGAGACCCTTGAGTGTTGTTTTTGCAACTCAAGCATTCTGTTAATCGATCAGGACCAGCACAATCAGAGTGTCCATTACATTCACATTGTATTGTACAATTGGAACCAACATAACCAAAACCACAGCGACAGACATCTGGTTTTATGCATTCACCTCTAACGCAGCCTGAAAACCAATACAATTCAAGGTTATTTTTACTATTTTCACTGAAATTTTGATTTGTAATATGGGTTATCTCCCAATAGTGGTCTAACAATGAACTGTGGTCTACTGTAATGATAATTTAATAATATTATGTGGTCTACAATACATAATATGTTATTATTATATTTAGTGATTTTACATGAAATAAATAATTGTAAAAATGAAATAACCAAAATAAAAATATTAACTTGTTTTCCGTTTGCTGCAGATCATATTAAATACTTGTAACGACACTGATAAAATTGAAGATAATAGTATAGTATAGAGTAATTATAGTGTATACAAGACATCAATTGACGTCATTCAGCATATTATGCAAACAATGTTAAATTACTCCATTTGCTGTGAGTTCATTAGTTTTATCATTTTATAAATAGAAAAAAACAAAAAAATGATATAAATATTATTAAAAACTATAACTGTGTAATTTAACTATGATTTCTTCAGTTACAAATGTACTTTAAAATTCATTATAGTTGATTATAATCAACTATACCTACTAGTCGGCATAACACGCAATAATACATGACAGACAATACAACACCAACTAAACTGTTGTCATTTATAACAACATTGATTTTAAAAACACTGGGAGATACAAATATAAAATATGTATCACTAGAAGATATAAAGAGATAATATATTAAGTTATTTAAAATAATAAATAATATAATAATCATAATGACGTGCTATAGTAAAACACAAGACAGTGACCAAGACATATTGGCAGATATATATGTTAATGTATATTTAAATTTATTAAAATTTTTTAGTAGTATATTTTAATTAATCACCTTGAGTACAAATCGGAATACATTGAGAATTATCATCAGGTTGATAACCATTGCCACATACACAATGAAAACCATCAGCAAGATCAACACATTCTTCACTTTCTGAATTGCAACTATGATGACCATTTACACATTCATTTTCGGGTGGACAAGTTATGTAATACCATGCTACTGAATCATTCAAAGTTAATTCTTTATTTAATAAAGCTACATCTGTTGATGGTGAAAGTGCATCATCTATTCCGTAAATGAAATCATGAGATTCTAAGTTTTGATAAGCTGCCATTTTAGGTTCAGTATTTAAGTGTTGAAGTAATTCCTGACATGAATGGTTAGGGCCAGAAGCTGGACTAGACATATAACCTTCCGTACATATTCCCTAAGATAAAAATAAAAATATAGTTCTCTATTTTTTCAACTAAAATATTTTTCAACAAATGTTTTTACCTGTCCAGTTTTGTTCAATACATCTAAAGCACACCATCCACAATGGGTATGGCGGAGACACGTGGAACATTGAATATAGCTAGAACAAGGTTGAGGACAACGATCTATGTTACCACCACTAAGAACAAGTCCACAAACACCCCCAGCACAGTATAGTGGTTGATAACTAGGTGATATGCACTCGTTTAATGTAATTGACCAGCGACATTCATGCCATCCTCCTTCTCCACCCTAAAAGTTAAAATAAATTTAATACAATTATAATTTATCCACATTAAGAATATTTTACTTGAGATGATAAACATGTTTCACAAGATTTGTGAGCAGAACAGCGTTCTGGACAAATGGAAGTGTTTTTTATTTTGATATTTGATCGTTGACTGAGATCTAGACTAGAACAACTCCAATCATTCAATGACCCACTATTTGAAAGAGTTTCAAACTCAGATGCATGCATTTGCCTGAATATGAAAAATAATAAATTATGACTGAAATAAGTAGTTGGAATTTTAGTATTGCATACCTAGTCCATAAACAATTTCCTTGTTGATGACATTTTTCACAATTAGTTGCCATACATTGAATATTTGGACACATTTCTACTTTTGTCACTGTTTTACATTGATTATCACAGCTTGAAGCATCTTTAACACACTGTCCTTTAGTACCACAATTTGCACACCATGAACAAACCTAGAAATAATACATTAATATATATATATATATATATATATATTAAATATAACCTTGTTAAAATTTAAAAGAAATGTAATTTAAAGTTTATTGCTTACATTTGAGTTTTCATAATGATTATTAGGCCATGTAGCTAAACAATCAGTACATGTTGTGTACTGTTCACAAGATCGACTAGATATCCAATTTGAATTACAAGACACTCCATTATTTGTTCGTGATGTACCATTTGTCGAAACACAGGGATTAAAGCCTGGGCCAAGATGAGTAAAACAGTAACTGACATTTGTTCCTATCACTTGACAAAATGAACATCCAACCAGAGATCTAATTAAAACGAAGCAAACAATACATATTATATAAATAAAACATTTAAAAAACGAGATTTACATTTTAACATTTACCCTCTTAAATAATCAGTATACATAAGAATTAGAAATATAACTGGGTTGTTAATAATTTAAATATGTACATATTTAGGTAATAGAAACATAAATAAAAATTATAAACATTTCTACAATGTGATTAAATCAATTAAAAAATTTAAACATTATCTAGAAATTGTATTAAGTTGAAACAATTTCTGACCTGCATTTATCTCGTTTACCAGACCACAGATTACAAAGGTCCTGTGGTAATTGAATCCGTGTTACACGAGATTGTATATCGCCAGCAAAACCACCAAGAATGTACATAGACTTTGTTTCCATGTCTAATGTCATTGCATGAGCATGAGTAGGTGGTGGCGGCAAACCAATAATAAATATATCTGGAAAATAAAAATGTATTATTTTCATTTTAATTTGAACTGCACTTTTTATAATGAGTTAATTTTACCTGGAGTTAATAAACGTATCCACTGGTTACATGCATATGAGTAAGCAATAAGAGTATCATTTGTACTAGGTGGATCAGTCCTTCCACCAAAAACAAACATATATTCATCTGTTGTGATAGCTGAATGTAAAAATCGCCCCCTTGGCTGAAAAATTAAATAAATACTTTTTAGATGGCATTATTAATGACAGGTGCTATGAAAAATGTATATTCTATTCAACTTAAGAAATTTAGTCAGCGGGGGGTATGGCTTCATTACAAGCATGGACGACCTCAAACACGAATACAAATTTTAGTTATTCTACAATGAATGTTATTAATATGTAGTTATTATTTGAAACTCAACAGAAAATCGCTCAGTTGAAAACTCGCAGTATGTCGTCCATTGTCGTGTGTGGGTAGTGCACGTAAACAGTGTGTGTGTGTGTGTGTGTGTGTGTGTGTGTGTGTGTGTGTGGGGGGGGGGGGTGGACAATAGGTGGTACTTGAAAACTGCCGACTACGTTTCTTAAGTTGAATAGAGTATAAATAATGGAAAATAAATTTGTGAATTCTAATACAGTGTACTTTCAGTAACTCGAAATTATCAACATCTCGAACAACTACATTTCCCTTCAAATATCAATAACACATTAAGATTTTGATAACTCAAGTTACCGAGCTTCAAGTTACCGAGAGTACACTGTACAAATAATAAAATTATTTAGAAATATACTATTGCTATAATTAGAAGTATGAATCCAATATAACTTGATTTGAATATTACTTTTGGGGTATCATAATGTATGAATAATAATAACAACAATACGGTATACAACGAGTGGTATATTTCTAGGAGCAAAGATTATTCAACATCCTTTTTTATATTATAATTTATACAATTGAAATACATGTTTACAACATTTAAATAAATTACTTACTAGGCTATTTTTTGGTGGATTATAGTCTTTGAAAATAGGTAGAATAGTCCATATTTGTAATTCATAGTTAAGTGCGAATAATTTATCTGTCATTATTGTTTGATTAACAGAGTAAATATATCCACCAAATACATACAAACTATCGGTTAGACCATGGTATACTGTACTATGTCCATAAATACCTAATAATCAAAATGGTAAAATAGATACGTTATACATAGGTATAGATAACAATAAAATAAATACATACATCGGTATTTGGAAAAAAATGTATTATATATGTTACAGTTGAAGTATTGAATCAGTTAGTTAATGAAATAACTAGGTAATTTATAAAATAACTAAAACGTGTAGGTAATGTATATAATTTATACTTAAACTATTTATTTTACACATTCCCTGCCATCACTTCTTTGATGTGTCAAATTGTACAAAATATCATGTACAATATCGTTAATTTACTGTCCAGCATATTAATAAATTAGATAAGACTGACATCCTTGTTGTAGGTGACTGCAATGTTCATGTAAGTTTATCATGTTGGATAAGATTATTGTTGTATATGTAAATATCTATTATTGTTTAAAGCTTAGTAATAGTCTTACAGTCACACGCGGTCAGTGTTGGTTCGTCTGTCTCCACACTATTATTTTAAGTATTTATATAATACACAATGAATTCAAATGAATTAGATTTAATAAAAGAAGTTTTATATTAGTGTTAAGAATCGTTCATTAAAACATAATAGTGCAATTTTAACAAAAGAAAAATATGCTAGTTTGATGATAGATGTGAAAAAAAATAAAATAAAAAAAGGATTCTTCTTGTGACTGTTGGTTAGAAAAACATTACAATATTGTAAAAATAAACGGCATTGATAAATTAATACTACTCGTAAGTAATCAAAATGAAAATGTTAAATTATATTGCATGATTGAAGATATGTTTGATTATTTAAATGAAATTCACATGACATTCACAATTCAATTTCAAATAAATAAAAAATTATAATATATTTTAAATTTCAATGTGTATTATACTTTAACGTATATCAAACTAAAATTGTATAGAATAACAAGATATTCTATGGAGTAACTAGATAAAGTATAATAATTTTAAAGTATGATTTCATACTTTAACTAACATTCGTAGGTAATTCATGAATACCTAATTATTCCATAAAATGGTGGAACAACACTTTAACTGTAACATATTTTATACTTAACTATAAATTAATTGCTAATTAACTTTTTTGTTGTTTTGTGATGCACTTACCAGCTGGTCCATAACCACTTGTTTTAAACTTTTTCCAAACTTCTGTTTGCATATCAAACTCCCATACATCTTCAAGGAAACCCATATCTGGACTAAAACCTCCAATTAATATAAGACTTTCTTTTTCACCAACAGATCGTAATGTGAGAGTATGGCCGGCCAATGGCGGTGGATCTAATTCTGTCTGAAAAATTTAAATAATGAATAATACAATAATTAAATATAATTAAAAATCAAACAAATTGTGTACACATATTAATTAAAAATCTAATATATTGAAAAAAGAGAATAATAGAAAACAAGGTATAGAGTTGAAAGATCCAATTGTTGTCAATTCTATTGAAATGTTATTGCCAAATTGAGTTCAATTTTTTATGTTGTTTTAAATAGTATGAAAATTAATATAATTAAGTAGTATACATTTGTGGGTATTTAAGTATTAATACTCTTATATTTCTAAATATATGTTACCCTTCATTTGTCTTTACTTCAGATACATAGTTTTTATACATGTTATTCTTATTAATCATATGAATTTATAAAAGTTAAAGGCAAATTATAATACAGTCTTAATATACCTATAAACATAATAAACAAATAAATACGGGGGGTTTTTTTTTTTAACCCAGGAGAAGTATTGTTAATAAGTGTGACAAAAGTAATTTTTTTTATTTATATAAACCATAATTAAATGGTGTATTACATCTTAATAATTGGTAATTCCCCATGCCTTCCATACACATTTTATTTAATAACAGTTTTAGATAATATTAGATAAATAAAATTACATTTTTTATTTATGAACTGTTGGGAAGGGATGTTGGAATTTGGGGATGGCTGTACTCTAATAATAAATATATATATATATATATCCAAACAAGGAAGTCAGCATAAATATAAAATAAACATCTGATGAATTAGTCAAAATGATCAATTTAATCTCTCGTGAAATTGTTCAACACATCTCCCTGGTTAAGAAAATAAAGTATTTCCATTTTTAAATTATTAAATATAAAATAAAATATTCACTATTTGAGCATAAAATAAAATAAAAATAAAATAGAAAAAAAAATTAGAAGTAAACATCAAAATATTAAACAAGTATCTGCGCTCAATAAGTAAAGCATATTTTATATTTTTATTCAAACTAATTAATAAAAGTTTTAATGACAAACATTTTCCTGTCAATTTATCAATTTGTTTTATTCATTAGAGTCCAATTATGAAATTTTATATTGCTATTTTTTGCATATTTGAAGTGTTTTACAATGGTTTTTTTTAATTTTATTAATTTTCGTGTACTCGAGAACTAGTAAAAATAATGCTTTGATTTTAAACTTCAGTATCTTGTTTGATGGGAAAGTGAGTGTGGTTGGTGCATTGGGGATGTCAAAATAACGTAAAATTCTCAGTAGTTTTCAAAAGCACTGAAAAAAACCAAAAAACTTTAAGGACATTGGGAATGTTTACACAAATTTGGTTTTCGACAATATTGATTTTGATTTTTGGTGTAACTCTAAAACTAATGACCGTAGATACATGAAAATTTCACTGAATGTTTATATTAGTATTTTCTATATATAATCAAAATATTTTGACTTGCTTTGAGCTGTTTACAGACAATTTCAGTTTCCAATTTGTTTAGTTTTTTTTTTTTTATAAATGTCAATGAAATGTTATTTGTTGGGTTAATGAGCTTGAAAATTTAATAGAAGGCTCCTAATATGTTGTTACTATGGTAGTTGAAAAATATTAAAAATACATATGTAGTTACAATTTTCATTTTATAAGGATTTAAAGTTTAAATACAAAATACGAAAAATCATAAAAATGTACAGTTTCTACCGGAAAGTCAGATCAAATTCTTATGAGCTTTTGAGTTCAAATATTTACATCATTAGTGCTTATATGCATAGTCAATATAAGTGTCATAAATTATTCTTGTTTTTTGTAAAATGTTTTTGAAAATATTTTTAAATATTTTTATCCTTATAATTTTTATGTTTTACTTTTTGTATGACAACATACAGTTTTATTTTCATCTTCCAGAGAATAATATTTTTCTGAGTATTTTGATACATAAAAATGGAATTTATAAGGAGGAGCATAATATGAGTCATAAGTAAGTAAAGCAAACTTTAGATGAGCGGAGTAGTGGACCAACATTTTGGAAGGTTGTTGTGTACCACTCCATCCGCTCATCGAAAATTCAAATACTTATAATTCATAAACTACTCGTTTTAAATTCTATTTTTATGTATGGAAGTACCTAGAAAAATGTTCTGCTTTGGAATATGAAATTGAAAATGTAAGTTGTCATTAAAAACGTAAAAACTTAAAAAATGATGAGACCTTCTTATATGAGTAATTAAAATATCACAAATTCTAAATTCTTATAACTAGCTTAAAAATTAAAATATTGTAAAAAAACTCGAAGATTAATAAAGCTATTGATAAAGCTTAAACACAAATTTGGAACTGCTGAATACAAATTTGTTATGTTGTGTGTTCGGAGACAACACATGTAAGTATGACATCCTCTTAATAGTTTAACACTAATTATATCCATATTAGTTACTTGTATGCCTATCCATCTTTGATCCTTTAAACTGAATTTCCAAAAGTCTGATAAAATCTTCATTGAATATTTTGTAGAACGACCGTAAGGAGTTTGAATTTGTGTTAGACCACCATACACATATATTTCCCTTCGAGAATGTACTATTTCAGCTGCATGGAAATACCTCCCATTTGGCATATGAGCGTCATTTGTACCATCTACTGTGACCTTTTAATAATATTTATCATATTACAAATAACTCAAAAAGTATTTACAACGTTTAGTTTATTTCAGACTTGAAACAATGTAGCTTACTTGCATCCAAGAATTGTTTTTAGAGTCAAACAAACGAATATCATTTAAAGGACCATGTGATAATGAATAACCACCGAATAACCACAACTGACCACGCCTTGTTGCAACCACTGAATGTCCGAATCGAGGCAATGTTTGACGCAAGTGATCTAAATTTTCTGATACGTGCGCTGAGTTAAATAGATCCGTAAATATAAGTGGTTGCCGCAAATGACTAGATATAGGAACTGAAATTGAACAATCTTCTCCTTCATAAATACTATCACAAATACAGCGACCATATTCCTAATAAATAAATAAAATAATAAACAGTTATTTAAATCTCTAAAATTTGACAAAAATCTACTAACATGATCACATTTTCCATGGCCTTTGGCATGATTACAATCATTTGGACATATTAAGTCTTGACAAAGTACTCCAGTACTTCCTTTTTGACATACACAACGGTTATGATGACATACTCGGGTTGGGGGGCAGAAATCTGGACAGCTAAACACTACGTACGTAGCATTAAACCCTTCAGTAGGTTCAGATTGTTTGTAATAAACAGTCATCACACCTACATTTTTAATTAAATGTTTAATTTAACATTTTAACTTGTAAGATAGAAACATCTTATGTAATATGTAAGCTTACCAGTAACCCCTTCTATGGTTAAAGGATACTGAGAATCTCTAGTACAAAATACACCAAGAGAATGAGCTGGGTGTGTTCTAGACATAGACACAAAATTTGGTAGTCCATCATACACATAAACACTGTTCATACCACATGGGACATTTATATCATTATCGATTGTTAACTGTATCACATAAGATCCACTGAAAACCACCAGGGAAATGAAATACTTAGAATATTAATATAATTTTAGAAACTATTATTTTATAAGTATTATTTCTTTTTTTTTTCTTTTTACAATTAGAAATGGATTATGAACTTACATGGCAGTTGAATTATTTCGCATGTTTTCAGGATCAATTATCCAGAGACATTCTTTCGATGGTGGACCTTCTAAACGTGTTTCCCAAGCACTAATCTCCACAGATTTTGATCCAAACCCTTGAGGGCCCATACCAGATAAAATACCTCTGGCCATACATTGGTGATAACAAACATTTCCATTTCTATAAAATCAAATAAGTTTAGAAAATATCTTTTACATTTTAAATCTATACTTATAAAATAATTAAAAAATATTTTGAATCATATCATTATTGTCAAATAATTGGTTTATATATTTAAATAGATTTAATAACAATAATTACTTTGGATCTCCAAAAAATCCTTTTTTGCAAAATTGACAATTATCTCCTTCAGTATAATGTTTACAATAACATTTACCCGAATTAGAATCACAAATACCAAGTTGTTCATCACCATGATCATTGCAATCACATTTATGGCATCCTTCTATCGATGTTGCATTACCATAACTTCCAGCTCTTTAAATTAATTATTGGATTATAAGTGTGAGTATAATATTTTTTTAAAGTTTATTTCATTGAACTTACTTGCAATATTCGCAAAACTGCCCAGTGGTCCAATCTTGACACTGGTCACATGTACCAGGTCGTTCGTTGCAGGTTGAATGATTATTACACCCACAGTTAATTGCACAATCAGCTCCAGTCCATCCGAGATCACATTTACATGTATAGTCAGGTGCTCCAATACAATATCCATTTAGACATTTATGATAGCACCTATAAATTGAGTCATATTTAAGTAAAATATTAAACGTAAAAATAATGCTGTTTTATTTTTCTCTGAATGAAATATAATACTGGTATTATATTAGTTCGACATTAGTCAATACATATTACTTGATATAATTTTCACCGATAAAATAAAAGGAAAGCATTTATTATTTGACAGTGAAGAACCATTAAAATACCGGCATAAGAGACTTACGTTCTTGTACATGAATGTTTTCCATCGCCTATAAAACCTCGTTTGCACTGACAGCTATATGAACCTTGAGTATTGGTACATTTGGCTTCTTTATGGCAATCATGTAGCCCCAGACCACATTCATCAACATCTGGACATTGCGCATATGCCCAACTTGAGTCTTCTTCATAAGTATTGTTGTTCATTATGTAGGAACAAGTTCCTAGGAGATAATAAACATAGTTAAATATAACATCCATAGCATATAAAACTGAAATATTCTTAATACACTTATTATAATAATATTTGGATCATTAAAGAAGGCACATACCTATAAATGGTTTACTAAAATCACCTCCTGTACAAATCCCTTGGATTGGGTTACCACTGTCATAACACCATCCACAACCAAGAGTTTTTAGACAACTAGAACAATTCATACTTTTCTCGCATGAGGTACATGCTAAGTTAGGTTTATCTATTTGCATCTGTCCTGATCCATAATAATGAACACTTCGGTCAATCCATTCTCGACATCGTCCAAATTGATATTCGGATGTATATTCGGAAAAATGGAAACATTCCTAAAAATTATGATAGGTAATAAAAATTGGGCTAGAGATAAATAAAATACTTTACATTTGTTGCTCGGCACCAAACACATCGACCATTGTCCAAGCAATCAGAACAGGAGTGTCTATTTGAACATGGGACAGGGCATGAATCAATAGATATCACTCCGTCAGGTAATCTTAATAAAAATGGATAGTGATATATATTACAATAAAAACATCAAAATAGTTAGTTTAAATTGCTTGTTTAAAATGACAAAATCTACAATAATTCATTCTTAACCAGTTTCGATAAAATAAAAAAAGATCTTTTTTAACAAACCTTCCACGTCGCTCACATTTGGCTTCTTGACTCCACCATTCACAATATCCACTTTGAATACAGTCAACACAATCCACATGATTAGAACAGTTTGGACATAGTTGAGGTGATATAACAAGATATTTCCATTCATTAATATTATTATTATTATGGCAAAAAACTGAATCTGTTTGATTTCTTGTGGTGCAAACTGATTTTAATTCACACCATGCACAATTAGCATCACTAACACATATGAGACAACTTTGATAGCCAGTACATATTGAGCTGTCTCTGCTATGATATGGTTCAAGATAATCCATTGTAAAAGGCTATTTATATTTAAAATACATTATTGCATAAATAATTATAAGCATTTAGTATTTAATAATAATTATAAATACCTTTGAATTATTATGACCCTTATTGTGTTGTAATTCTACAATAGAGGTACCAGTGTTTTGAGAATAAGTTATATTTTTATGAGTAGTTAAATCTAATAAGTATCGTTCAGGAGCATGAAATGGTTGATCTTCAGTAGACCACGATGAAAGTTGTAAACATTGCCAACCATCAGCTTTCAATGTTATATTGATTTCCTAATAATTGATTTTAGTTTATAAGAAAAGATAACTAATGAGAATAATGAGAATTTCTGAATTTACTTACTGGTTGGTACATATATGGAGATGTCATTATAAGTCGTGTATTTGTAAATCGAGAGCATAATTGCAGTTGGTCTTTATGATTGTCCCACATCTGAGGAAATCGCAAAAATCCAGAAAGCCTTACAACCATTGTACCACCAATTGATAGATCAGCTCTTGACATTGGTAAATGGGTTGAAACATCAATGATACTTGTATTAACTACTGATACCTATAACATTTAATAATTATTTTAAAATAATAAGTAATAATCAACATAATTAATATACAGAAAAGTTGAATTTACTAGATCTGGCTGTGAAAAATTTGCAGGATGTAAATATTTGAAAAAAGTCAACCCTGATCTTCTATCTAACGCTCTGCAATTGTCTGGATAAGCAACTTCTATTCCTCCGCCATTAAAATTATTGTTATGTAGACCACACACCTCATAATTATCTGTAAAAATAAAAACATTTTAATCCAGTTATAATATTTTTTTATACATTAATGAATATCAAATATAGATATTTATTTACCATTTTTATGATGACATCGACCATCTTGTATGCACCAAACACATCGACCCAATTGCATTATATGGGCAACTGAAGTGGTTGATTGATTATTGCTGAAAGGAGTACTTTCCCCATGAATTAAACACGAATGACAATCAGTTAAAGCAGAACAGATACCCGGGCATCTGGTTGTTTGTAAATTGGTTGTACAATTTATACCCCCGTTGCGTCCATAACAAGTATCGTCAGAAGAACACCACCCACATTCAGGATTTGCTGTACACTCTTGAAGACCTTTGTGTCTAAATTTTAATTTTATTGTTAATATTATTTTGGAGTAAATATTTATATATTTTTATAATATTTATTACCTTAAGCACATCAGTTCTAAATGATAGGAATCGTTTCCTGTAGGAACTAATGTTGGTGGTAAAACAAACGCTAACAAATCTGAGTTTATGTTTCCTCGGTATCCACCAACAATAATTAATGTGTTTCTGTTACGGACATCAGACCCGTGTCCAAATACACCAAACATTTTCTTATGAGTGAACTCTATAACACATTTATTGACAATTAAAAATGTAGAAAAATTTATAAAATGAAGACAGAACATTTTCTTCAATTACCTTTGTTAGATAACCCAAGGACATCTCGACTAAGCCATGTATTACAACCAAGATGATACAGATATATTTCATTGTCATAACAAATTTCTTCCTTGGCATGTCTATGTGTATATCCTCCAAAAACAACAATGTAATTTCCTAAAAATAAAAGATTTAATAAAATCAGTTATATTATTTAAATTAATTTATTAAGGTTAAGCAGCCCACACAAAGACTTAAAAATATAAAAAATACAGCCAATAACATAAGTTATATACATTTAAACAGTAAGCTTTAAATAATATTATACTCATTGATATTAGGTAACGAACATGGTAGTGACCAGGTGTAAGACCATCTGTTTTGCTTTGATTACTGAAGGGCAGAATAGTATTGAACTACCTATTATTAAAAATTATTCTAACCATAGCTTAGTTTACTTCAATTAATAATTAAAGACTGTATTAACATTTATTAACGATTGTACTACAGTAACAAATTTTAATATCTAAAGCTACAAATTAAAAGATCTAAAAAAAAAACCTTGTCAAATAATTTTAAATATTCACTATTATTAATTGACAAATATTGACTTCAGATTTCTGAGATTTTTTATAAAATAATTTGGTCATTATGACACGGCCCTAGCGCCTGCGTTCTCTTCTCAACTTTACACACTGCAAAAGGACCCAAGAGGGAGAATATCGAAGTTAATATGATAAGATAGCGGTGGATCACGAATGGATCTTCGCAGGAAAAATCACAAATTATTCCAATATGGCGTCAGTACACTGTTATCACAAAATATAATGCTTATCACAAAATAATATTGAATTTTTACCGCCAACTTTTGAAATCAATAACTAGCAATAATAGGAAATATGTATGTCGTGTAAAAGCCAAAATTTATATTAATAATAGATACGCTAGTATTATTGACTAACTTCATATATTCGCGATTATGTCGATATGCAACAATTATCGTATAATATTTAGAGTCAACGAAAAGTTATGAACGGTTACAATGTACCTATCAGTCAAATTTAATAAGTACACATTTCTGATTTCTTATAAAATGTTTGATTCAAGAGCAGATATAACATTATTGTTACACTACATATTTTTTTTTATAGTATGGATACTTTGCTTTCTATTTTTATAATAGAATAAAATTTGTGCACAATAGGAAATCCCAAACATAACCAGATAATAAAGCTTACAATGAGTGACTTCATCAAAACTATAAATTACATAAACATATATAGGTACACCCAATTATTATGAGATAAAAGAGAAATATAATTGTACATTATCAGTTTTACAGAAGTACATAATACCAATACCATGACTGTTTAAATTTATAATATAATACAAACTACTAAGTGAACGGTTACTTAATTTTTTTTTAACATTTATTATTATTTATTATGAGTTCTAGTAATGTGTGTTTTTACTGTAATTCTAAGTACTCAACAATTTATAATTTTAATAAACATATGCAAAAAAAACACGTTAATATTGTATTAAAGGTATTTCATTGATATAACATTTTGTTTTTAAAATGTATATTATTCAATATTTTTTTTTTTGGAAGGAATGTAAAGGAAAGATTTATACTTGTAATGATTGTGGTGAGACATTTAATTCAAAAATTAAAATAATTAAACACATAAATTCACATAATGGTAGTCAATTAGGCCATATTAAATGTTCTTAGGAAAATTGTGAACTATCATTCAAAACAATGAAAGAATTTTCAAAACATTTGTCATTTGAACACAATACGAACATTGAAATGGTATCACTTAATTTCAATACTATGGAAGGTAAACTAAATGTACAATCGACCGAATCTAAATTAAGAGAACAAAAAGACAATAATTAAATATTGTGATAAAATAATGTCCATTATTTCTTCAGACACTACCCCAGTTAATACTAGTAATAATAAACAAAACCGTTTTAAAATAAAAAAGAAAAATAAGAAAAATAATTTAATGGATATCACACTATCTAAAAATGAGAGCAAACTAATAAGAGATTCGTTAATGGAAGATTTAAGTGGTGAAGTATAAAATATCCACTCTTCAAATAATTTGTGATTTTTCCTGCGAAGATCCATTTGTCGGTGGATCACTGATACCCAGTACGGCCTGTGAGTTGAGGGTTAAAATCCCGTCCCATGCGTATTTTTTCATTTAATCCTCTATATCTTTTTTAAAACCAGCCACAGGACTTATGGCCGCATCAAGTATAAGGTACATGGGTCAGAAGAACACAAAATCATCAAACTATAATTAAAATTATTATTTATTCCAAAACTTCATGTTCTATATTCATTTAAAATTTTAATAGGAATGTGTAAAAACTAAAAACTAAAAATTGAGTTAGGATTGGTATGAAAATTCAGTAGATATAAATATGGGAGATTCCAAAGATTGGAAAACTGCGTTTTTAAAGAGACAAGTGTGTATGTGTTACTATCAAATGTATTACATAGTTAACAAAAGTTTGCTTCATGTGGAATTCTTAATATGAGTCAATATACAAACCCATTATATTTGCAGAGTGAAAAGCTCGTTCGGTGGGTACATTTGATGGTGGATATTTTATTTCAGACCAATGCTGTGTCGGTATATTAAAAATAAACATACGATCACTAAGTTTTGAAAACCATGATGCACTTGTCACTATTCCACCATAAATAATGAGAGATTGAGAACGAATATCATACACTGTCGAATGAGCTGCAACCCGAAAATTTAATTCTTTGCCGCCTCTTGGTTTAATTTCTTTCCATTGTTCGTTCTCATCATCTAAATACAAAACATTTAATTTTATAACAACATATGAAAAGTTTTGCATTACATAATATTATAAGTATAATATAATACTTGATATTTGTTTATTCTATTACTAAAAAAAAATAAATTGAATTAGATTTATTTCTTTTGATTTTGGACAGGCATGGATACTTAATTCCAGTATTTAAAAAAAGTAATATTAATAAGTATTATGAGGAATTAATTTTTTTAATTTTCATGACCGATTTTTTGATAGGGCTGTTTTTTTTTATCAACAATTAATAAAAAAAAATGCAAAATGTCAATAATTAGCTCAATTCTGTTAAATATTTTTAAAATTTTACCATGTATACAAATGCTAATATAAATATTTGATAAAAATCTCAAGTATCTAGGTAATTCCTTATTAAATTACATAGAATAAGAAAATCACTTTTGTGAAATATCGGTTTGAGTAAAAATCCAAGTTTTTCCCTATCTTGTTTTTGCTTATTATTAAGAAAAGTACTGGGAATTATTCAGTTTCGCAACCAAGAATTTTTCATTGGGGGGGAGGGGGGGGGGCTAACAAAATAAATCATCTATTTTAATCATATAAACAATATACCTATGTTTTAATATACCAAATATTATACGTGCCAAGGAGGGGGGGTCCAGACCCGGAGTCCACTCCCCTGGTTGGGCCACTGGAATTATTACTTTTGACTAAATTTACTTTCCTACTAGATTCCATAAAAAAATTGTTTGAAAACAAAGCATTTTTATCCTATAGTGTTTTTAGTTATAAAAGATATAAAAAGCACGTTATAAATCAATATAAAATCATTGAATCAGAATCGCTCAAAATCTAAAATGTATTTCTTATAATATATATTGTTTATAAAATTGGATATAAAAACTAATAATTACATTTAAAAATTGAACTTTTATTTTTTTTTTTGAAACTAAGAAAATATTTAAATTGTTAACAAAATTATTTTGTTGATTATAGTTTTTTATTAATATTATAAACTTTATTTTAAAACAAATATGGTATAAAATTACCTGTATTGAGTTGAATAGAAAATATCTGAGAAGAAAAATATCCTTTGCTATTACTACCACCAACTAAATAAATAGTATTTGTATGTTCCACATATGTTAGAGTATGTCTTGTGAGAGCAGGTGGTATTACTGTAGAATGTTGGGCACGTAAAAACCATTTTTTTGTATATATGTTATAAAACCATAGTTCTCCTGACAAACCCTTTTTCAGTCTACCACCATACATGAGAAATCCTCCGTTGTACCTGAAAACCATTTTAATATAATTTTTGTTTACGTATTTTTATAAAATATGTAATCCACTTTGTTGCTGCATGACCAAAGCGCGGGGCTGGTAATCGTTTTTGTTTAATTTCATTCAATACATGTTCATTATTTTCATCATTAGGAAACTCAAATGGCGAATGACGTGTATTCTGAATTGTGAAAACAAACATACTTAGTAATCAATAATTATAAAGATTATAATATTATACAACTTAATTCATATAAATTTAAAGTACAATAAGTCAAACATATTTGAAGGAATGGAAATTTTAAGTAAATTCATTTTTCTTTTATTTATTAAGATTGTGATGTGTACAATACACCTATATATTATATTAATAAAACAAAATTACATCATTTTGATGTTCAAGGAATGTTGAATCGTCAGCTAGTGATACAAAAATATCATGTAATACAGCTGACCACGTTTTGTTTCGTCTATGTTCATTTACACGACTAGTATTATCAAAAGAAGAGTATTTAGATCGATTTGTTCCAATTGTTGTGTCTCCTAACTTGGCAGTCATCAAAGCATTTATTGTGGCTGATCCAATGGAATTGACGGTTGTGTGTAAAGGATCTATATGAGTAAAACCAAAATAAATATAAAGATATACTTTCAAATAAATATTTATTTATTAAATTACAATTATGTTACCTATGACATTATCATTTCGATCGTACCACATAGAAGTATTAAACCGAAAGACAACAAGATCACCAAGAATATTGTTTAAATCATATCCACCAAAAATGTATAAAGAATCAGCCTCAGAAATATACACAGCTGAATGGGCAGCTCTCGGATGTATGCCTCCCTGATACAAATCATGCCATCTAAAATTCAACAAATGATGGAAATCATGTTTTATATTGTAAATTGTAAGATAACACTTTAATAAATATTAAAAAATATCAAACCTATTCCCTGTAGAATCAGAACTATTCAAAGTGCAACCCATTCCTGAATAGTTTTGTAAGCAATGGCATCGACCTTGTTTGCACACACCCCTGTTAGGTTCACCACATTTATCGGGACATAGTTCAGTTGCGCAGTCAGGTCCACCCCATTCGTTATCACATACACAAAAATTTCGAAGGCAAAATCCATGACTTGAACAATTTCTCGGGCAATCAGATACATAATAGGAAGCTTCAAAACCTTCTAATGCATAATTTGTGTCACTGAATAACAATATTAACATCTAAACATACAAAACAAAATAAATTTAAATAAACTAAAAAGTACTGAAAATAATAAAAATAGTCATGAAAAAATTTAAATATGTATGAAAAAGAAAGTTAATGTTTAATAATAATGAATTACGATTGAATCATGTATTAGGACCCTGTTTTTAAAATGTATCACATAAAGATTAAAATTGGTGTTTAAAGTGATCCAGAATTGTAATAGTTATAAAAGAGAAAATAGTCTAATAAATCAAATAAAAAATAAAAAAAGGTGTGCAAGTGGGTGTCGGTCTGCTGTACAGTAGGTTACAAGTCTGTCACTGTATTATGGATAGTATTAAATTTGAATTCAATGATATTATATCATTGTACAAGAAAAACAATTCTGAGCGGAGACTGTCTGACAGTCTAGGTATAAGACATATTATATACATATCTATGGTATTAAACAAAAAATTGACCTGTAATAGGTACCTATAAAAAATTCCAAATTATCATATCACAATATCCATTAGGTACTTATAACCCGTTATACATCAACAAAAACCGTGATACTATCATAAATATATAATAGTACACAAAAGAAGTTTCAAGTACCCAGAATAATATTATTCAATCACAACAAAATAACTAAAATAGTTATTCTAGGTTTTTTAATAAGTAATTTCGTCCAAATTTGAATTTAAAATGTCTGTAAAAAATAACTGTGTTCATATATTTTTTAAATTTTTAAGTTACAGTATGAACTATTTATGAGAACCTTTGTTTTAAATTTGCAATACTTAGCTATATAAACTGAACATTTTATAATTTATTAATTACAATGATTGATAATTTTCGAGATTTTGATAAATTTTGGCAAAATTCGACCTTTGAATGCTTATAAAAAAAAATTATGCCTATGTATTTTAAGTATTTTTCAACTGATATTGTAACAATATATCAGGTGCCTTGTATTAAATTTTTACACTTTTTGGCCAAACAGATAAAACTTTATTGATATTCATAGAAAAAAAAAACTAAAAAAATTGAAAAATGAAAATGTCCGTTAACAGCTCAAAAAGAGTCATTTTCAAAATTGTATGGTGTATAGGAAATGCTTATATAAACATTCAGTGAAATTTTCATGTATCTACAATTATTCGTTTTTGAATTACAACAAAATAAGGAAATCGCTACATGAGAAATCGAGTGAATATCCAATGTTGTAAAAATTTTATTTGACTTTCCTATAGACATTTTTTTTTTGATAAAGGTAGACAAACTTATGAGGAATCTTGTATTACATTTTAAAACCTTAGATTTAAAAAGAAAAATTTTTACGAATTTTTAACTCAAAATAATTTGAAAAAAAAAATGTGACTAAGGATTTTTAATATTTTTCATCTGCCTTTGAAACAATATACTAGGAGCCTTCTATTAAATTTTCAAGCTTTTTCAGCCAAAAAATTGTATTGATATCTTGAGAAAAAAATCTAAAAAAAAATGGAAAATGAAAATGTCCCTAAACAGTTCAAAATAAATCAAAATATTTTGAAAATGTTATAGTGTATAGAAAATGCAAATATAAACAACCAGTGAAAATTTCAAGTGTCTACGGTAATTTGTTTTAATGTTACACCAAAAACCAAATTCAATTTTGTAAAAAATCGATTTTGCGTAAAAATTCCCGTTTTTTTTTAATTTTTCTTTTGTTAATCTTGTCGCTTGTGAAAACTATTGGGAATTTTAAATTCTGACCTCCCAAAAGTACCAACTAGATTCACTTTCCCATCGAACAAGTTACTGAAGTTGAAAATCGAAGCATTATTTCGACTACTAATCGTGTACACAGACACAAAAAAAAAAAAAAATAAAAAAAAAAAACACACATCATTGTAAAATCAATACATTCATCGTTTCACTCAGAATCTAAAAAACTAATAAAATTGAAAACTGAAATGACTAAAGAGTTCAAAACAAAACAAAATATTTTGAAAATTGATCGTGTATAGAAAATAGGAATATAAGCAACCAGATAAAATGTCATGTATATACGTTCATTTGTTTTAGAGATACACCAAAAACTAAAATCGATTTCAAAATGCCCGTTTTTATTTAATTTTTATGTGGTTTTTTCCCGGGGCTTTTGAAATTTATTGGGAATTTTAAATTTCGATCTCCCGAATGCACTAACTAGATTCACTTTCCCATCAAACAAAATTGAAGATATTGTTGAAGAAAATTGAAGAAGTTTTACTGCCCCAAACGATGGTGAAAGACACAAAAAAAAATTTAAAAAAAACACACATTGTTATAAAATCATTACACTCGTCGCTCAGCTCAGAATCTAAAATGTCTGCAAACAGCTCAAAAAGAGTCAAAATATTTTGAAAATTTTAACTATTATAGCTAACGACGACCGAAAATTTAAAACGATGGTTCCACGTAAATAGTTTATAATATATAAATTACTTTATTCACATTAATATCATCATATTATAATATACTTAGTAATATTATAGACTGATTGACCGGTCTTCGATCAGAACCGTTTTTCCTATACAATGATATCATTGAATTCAAATTTAACACAATTCATTACCGTGATCTTCTTGTAACCTACTGTACAGCAGAGCAAAACCCACTTGCCCTCTTTTTTTTTTTTAAATTTTGAATATTGTGAATTTTAAAATGTGAATAATATTGAATTTTATCGAATAAATAGATTGGCTAATAGAATTGGCAAAAAATTGATACTAACAAAATAACAATATAGTTTATACTTGCATGCCCGTTAATGATATGTGTATACAAGAGTGTTTCACTATTTCTTTTATACTACAGTCACACCCAAAAGTGATCATTTAATAACCGAATATTTATACGACATTCACCAATTCACTTAGAAAATAGCCTATATAAAGGAAATCCGGTCACTTGCATATAGACCGAAATACCCAAACATTTTCAACATTGGTGCTGATAACTAGCCATTCAAACAAAGATAGTGTTGGACGAGAATTGTTTTTTAATTTTGAGTCGAGTCAAGTCGAGTTCAAAATATGAATACTTGACAAATGCCAAGTATGAAAAAAATTTGAGTACTGGTAATTGCTAGAGTATTTTAAATGTTGACTAGATTTTCAATAATATTTTTAATTTTCTTTCATATAAACCTTGCCCTGACAATTACTAATGTGAACAAAATTTAAACTTTTATGTATCACCTTCCTGGAATTCTTATCGAAAATATTTGTGTTCTTTCAGTTATTTATAGTTTTAGATGAAGGCATTTTTCCTGATCTTTGGAAACTTTGTTCTATCACCCCTGTCCATAAGTCTGGAGATGTCTCCCAAGTTGTTAATTATAGACCCATATCAATTCTGTCCCATGTTTAAAAATTATTTGAATCTATCATAAAAGCTTATTCATTAACAGTATCAACAAGGCGTGAAAGCATGTACAATTCTTAGAGTTTGCGGATGACATAAAATTATTCTATCAAGTGAACTCGTTGAACGATTGTTTAACAATACAAAATGATTTGAATAATTTAGTTCCCTGGGCTATTAAGTTAGGTCTGCAGTTTAATACCTCTAAATGCAATTTGATGGTCTTTACACTTAAGAGTTCTCCTATAAGATTTAATTACACTGTAAATGGTTCTTCTTTGGTTCCACTCAACAAATCTGTTAATGATTTAGGTTTTGTCTTTGATCGCAACCTTAATCCTAGTTTGCATATAGAACAGGTCAGCTGCAAAGCTCTGAAAACCCTAGGTTTTCTCAAGCGGGTAGCTGCCGAATTTAAATTAGTATCCCCTTTGAAAGCACTTTATTGCTGCTCGCATGTTAGGCGGATCTTAGAATATAGCTCTGTCATCTGGGACCCTCAAACGGCTTGTAATTCAGTAATGCACAAAAGAGTTCAGAGAAAATTTTTGTATATTAGAATGCCTGCAAAATTACGAAATGCAAATATTTATCTTCCCTATGAAAAAATTATGTTTTCAAAAACCCAGTGTTATCCTGATAATTATATCTTATCAGAGACGTGCATCGAAATTATATGTTGAACTAAAAATCAAAGCCAATTTTGAGTAAAATTTTCCGGTTTTCCATAATTTATATTTTGATTTTCCTGGCACTTTTGAAAGTTTATGAGAATTTTAAATTTTGACCTCCCAAGCACCAATTAGATTCACTTTCCCCTCGAACAAGATACTGAGGTTGAAAATCGAAAAAACATTATTTCGACTATGTATCGTGTACACAGACGCAAATAAAAAAAAAATTTTTAATTTTAAAAAGTTGGACAAGTGTATACAGGTCTGCTGTACAGTAGTGGTCGATGTTGTTGTGATGGATGTGTTGAATTCAACGATAAATCATTGTTTACGAAAAACGATTCTGAGCGGAGACGTTGAGTCATATCTACTTGTATAAATAATCAAATTTAATAATTACATATTTAATTTTTACAAAAATCTAAAATATCTTATATCGTGACTTTTTGGTTAACTCTTTCTTTTTGATAGAGGTAGAAAAACTTGTTGGAAACTAACTATTAAAATTTCTTATTTACACAATTTGAAAAAATTACCATGGCTATAATCCCTCAAAAAAGTCAAAATTGTTTTAAAATATTACCATATATGTATATTGTACATGGAAAATGGTAATATTAACATTTGGTAAAAATGTCAAGTATCAGGTATCTAGGGTTATTTGTTTTTGGATTACAACAAAATATCAAAAATTGATAAATAGAAATTTGTTAATTTACCGACAAAAATCTAATACCTAGGTATATTAAAAATTTTAAATTCAAACGCTCATAAAAATTAATGTTACTTTCTGGTACTTTTTTTTTTTTGTTTATAGTAGGAACATTTTTAGGGAGTCTTCAATCAAAATGTCTAATGTTCACTATGAAAAGAAAACTTTTACAAATTTCTAACTGACAAATAGTTTCATAATTTTTGAAATTTTGTCAACATTTGAACTTTGAATGCATACAAAAAAAAAAAGGCAGGTAAGTGGATGTCGCTCAGCTGTACAGTAGGTTACAAGTTGGTCATTGTTTAATAGATTGTATTAAACTTGAATTCAATGATATAATATCATTGTATAAGAAAAACGATTCTGAACGGAGACGGTTTGTCAGTCTGTATATTTTATATTGTCATTAATTATTTTATTTATTTAATTATTGTTTTTTTTATTCGTTGCTACGGTGATAAACAAATTGTTAGAAATTAAAATCCCATTTTAAGCGGTTTTTCGTAATTTTTCAGTACTTTTTCTTGTGGCATTAAATAACTATTGAGAAAATCGAAAAATGACCTCTCTAAAGTACCATCTTGGTCCAATTTGCTAAAAGATAAGGTACTATATGTTGAAATCAAAGCACTCCTTCTGGTAGAAATTTTGTATACAGGATATAAAAAAAATAATAAAAAAAAAATAAACACCATTGTAAAACCACTAGCTTCCTTGCTCCGCTCAGAATCTAATAATTGAGAATATGTATTTTTGATAATTTTGAACACACGTTTACAAAATTTATAAGGAACCTGTGTATTATATTTTCTAGCTTCTTTACTAAGTAAAGAAGTTTTTATCGAGAATAATTTAAAAAAAATTTACTGATTTCTAAAAATATCTCAAGGCCATAACCAGTGGCACATTAGGTCTTACATACTGTAACCCCCACCTGATATTGCATGGAAATTAAACTGTAAGGGGCAAGGGCGTTGCCCTCACACCCTGTATTCACTTACAAATATAAAAAATTAATAAAAAGAAAAACAAATATTTATTTACTACAGTATAATTTTTCACAATTATTACCACAATCTGTGATAATTGGAATAAAAATCCCTAGACCATACTATTCACAACCACTTGCAAATGATTGAACAAATATTTTTTAAAAGCTAATTAGTGTAATTACCACATTATTAATATTTAACAAAAGTATATACTTATATAGTACTTATATACTATAGTATAGGTATACCGTATACTTATATAGTTATATCCTTAAAAAATTAAAAATAAGAAGGTTACCTATTAAAGAAACATTAAAATAAAAAAAACCATGTATGTTCAAAGCTTATATTTATTTAGCCATGATATTTATGTTAAAATTTTCAAACATTAAAAATAATATTTTGTTTTATATTTTATATCCCCGAGATAAAATATTACGTTTCCTAATAATATTTTGGTGATAACTTAAATATTAATAATAATTATTATTATTAGGAGTCGTTTTACATGTTTTACTTAAAGATACAATAATATTAAAAAAATTATAAAATACAAAATATCTAATAATATTGTATGATCAATACGTCAAATAATACAAATGATTATTAATTAATGTAGGTACCTAATCTTTTAAAAAACCATTAACATATGCTATTTCAAATGGTCATATAAAACAAAATAATATTACCTATTGTTAATGTTTGAAAATGATTTATTATAATATATTATATTAATTTTTTTAATAATAAGATGTATGCCTTTATTTAAAGTAATGTAATATGTATTTGTTATTACATATTAATAATGTAAATATTAATTAATAAAGTACATATTAATTATTATTTGTTTATTTAAAAATACTTTAAAAAATTTGACTTGCAAAATTTTGTTGATATTTAAAATTAGTTAGATTTGGTATAAAATATTTAAATTGGTAGCAATAAATAATTTTTAAACAATGTTATTATTGTTTTTAAATTGATATTATAATATATTCAATAAAAATACTTACAAAACCGGATGAGGCTAATATCGACTGAGGTTGATTCTTTCCACTATAACTTCCAAGGAGGGGAGAATTAAAAGAATCTCCATCATAAACGAATACATAGTCATAAGAACATTCTGTATTTAGTGTCTTGAACTCCAAAGTAATAAACTGATTTGTACTATTCGCTAAAACAAGTAAAAAAATAACTACAGTTAAAAAATTAATTTTTACAGGTATAGAAGTCTATAAGCCATAAATTTAATTCACTTACAATAACTACTAAATAGATACAAACAATCAAAAATAAATTGGATTAATTGAATTGAATTATAGTCATGATTATATAAATATGTTATATAGATAATGAATAATTTAAGATGTTCAAAAATAATAAATATACATGGGCACAAGTTTTTATTAAGTTAGCGTTTTTAGTTCAAATTTTGACAAAATTCATCAAAACCATATTATTTTAACATTTTATAATTTTTTAACAACAAAATCACATTTTTACTCCAAAAAAACATATATGTTTATACATAAATCAAGTTGTGTGTGTAGTGTGTACTGCAAATAATAAAATATAATATAATTTGAGGAGAGGGAAATCTCAAATAAAAAAAATAAATTAATAAAAAAAAATATACATGAAAATTGTAAATTAATGAATATATGAAGAGAGATAAGTGAACAGTGAAATAAATCTACATTATTTATGGAATTCCTTATAGCTATTAGAGTATTAGAAGGAGAGAATGACATATATTTGGATGAAATATTTGGTGGATAGAAAGTTTGTTTATGTCTAGAATTTAGGTGGTTTATTTTGAAGCATAATGCAAATTTAATTTATAATTAGAAGTGATCGGTTCTTTTTTTAAGGAGAAGGAAATAGTTGCACAGTTTTCTATATTTAGAGACATACCGTTTATATCACACCAATTTTGAAACAAATTCAAATCATTTTGAAGTAGAATAATATCATTTTAACAGCGAATAGTATTAAATAATTTGAGATCATCTGCTAGCAATAGAAAATTAGAATGTTTTAATTCATAAGTTATATCATTAGTAAAAAATAAAAATTTTAGTGGCGATAAGTGATCTCCTTGTGGGACACCAGATATAACATTTATATTATCCGAAATAAAGTTTTCATATTTAACAATTTGGGTGCGATTTGTTAAGAAGGATTCAAACCAAGAAAGAAGTGGATCACAAAATCCATAGGCTTTTAGTTTTAATATTAATAATTTGTGATTTACTCTGTCGAAAGCCTTTTCAAGATCTGTATAAATCACATCAGTTTGGGATCCGTTGTTAAAGGAATCTAGAATTGATTGTTTGAAAATAGATAAATTTGTTATTGTAGATCGACCTGTGCGAAAACCGAGCTGTTCATTTATTATAATATTTTTACATAAAGGGGTTTTTTTTTTATTAATTAATTTAGAAAATAGCTTAGGTATGATTGAGATTTTGGAGATTGGACGATAATTTAAGACAAAGGTTCTACTTTTTTTTATGGAATGGAGATATGAATGAAGTCTTCCATTTATTTGGAAATGTACATATAGTTTGAGTAAATATTAATTAAAAATAAATAGTATAAAAATAAATCTTCGTCCTACAAATATACAACATTGAAAAAATATTTTAGGCGGGACAATTTTATTCCCTCTATATTTATAGTAGAATATAGAAGAACTTTAACTGTGTCTTAATGTTTTTATTATTTGGATAACATAAATACATTTAAAGTCATCAGTTAATAAACATACAATTTTTTTTTCATTTAATAATTAAAAATTATTGGTTAGTGTTATAAAAAAATAAAAACACTACGACACAAATAAAGTTCTTCCCTATGCATTGTGAATTTTTTAATTCTACTATAAATACGGAGGGAGTAAAGTTGTCCTGCGTAAAATAGTTTTTTTATTTTTTACATTTGTAAGACGGAGACAACACATGCAGGTACACTATCTTAAAATATTTTTGATATACGACTAATATCAGTTTCTCCAATTATTCGTAATAAAATAAGTAATGCGATAAAATCTCAATACTGGTAGTTACTACAACTGAGGTGATCAAGTTAATAGTCTTGTACAACAGAAGGTAAGTGTTATTATTCAATTTCAGGAATTTAAAAAAAGAAACGTATGAACATGAGACTCTACAATTAAGTTGCATATCTATGGTGATATTTTGTACACAATACAACATGTATATAATAATGTGAATATGTCTATTTTTATCCCCCTGTGAAAAAATCTTAGATACGCTATTGATACAGTTAATAATATTTATATTGTTACATTAATATGTGAACATGAACCTACTATACATTGATACCTATAAATATAAGATCAATACAATAAAAGATAATTTACTAATGGACCTTTTATTTTAAATGCAAGAGCTGAGAATTAATATTTTGAAATCTTTAAAAACCATTACAAATTAAGCATTAGCCAAAGGTAATAATATTTAAAGGTGGATTAGATAATGAAAAAAATTAACTAGGGTCAATATTAAGAACGTTATTTATAACAAAATAATTAACACTCAATATATCCAACTCTAAAACTTTAAAGTTAACACAGAGAAAAATATTCACTTAACTCAGTTGAAAATATTAAGTTAATTAATGTCTTGCCACCTTGTCAAACAAAGTGATTGTGCAATTATAAAAATGTCTAATACTAACCAAACATTTTGTTAAAAATGTATTCTTTTGACAGCAAGGTGCTAAGATGCCATCAAATTGAAAAATAATATAAAAAATTACATTAAAATATTTGGTAAGTAAACTGATTTAATTAAGACATGACCAGTGGTTAATAAATAAGAAGTTAGGCTTAAACTAAATTCATTCAACATTTGTAGTAATAATAATCAGTGGAGTGCCGAACTGACAAGCAGACCTGTGGCAAACTATGCAATTTGATCCCCCTCCCCACCACCAACAGTTTTTTCACTATTTTTTTTTTTATTATTCAAAATAATAAATATTATTAAGTTTTTTTAGGCATAAGTTGCACATCTATACTAACACACCCATCCACCTAACCGAATTTTTCCTGAGGCAATGACCTCAAAAAATTACTATTCAGCACGCCTCTGATAATAATAATAATAATAATAATAGCTATTGCTACAATCAAATAAATCTCAATGAAATTTTCTATTTTTACTTGACTGTATGATACAAATTACACATATTAAGTAGGCATTGGTACCTAATTAAAAATATGTACCCAATAATTTAATAAAGAATGTTAGGTAACTGAAAACAACTTAATATTCTACTCTTAATTTTATACTTTAACTACTATTGTCTATTGGTACATAGGTTTTCACTCAACAATAATTTTAATTATATTCCAATTAAGATTTGTGATTTGTAACAATAAAACAAACTCTCATTCTATAACTTTAATCAAAGTAACTTACCTTTGATCAACCATTCGCAGTGAGTGTTCTGTGAGTAATTTGTTCCCGGGGGACCATGAGTGATGATTCCACTAGCCTGGGACAAGATGGTCCGGGTCTTGTCGCAAGGCACGTCGTTTGAACGGACAGCATTCAACAACAAGGCAATCGCTAGCAATTCCCTCGGAAACATGACAGATATTTCTCCCATTATGGTTTAACATGTTGGATACACATTAAACGCATTGCTCATCATCTCATTTTGGAGTGCAACAGAGTTTGTAGATGAAAAATCAAATGACCTATTAAGATGCATCGAAAATTCGATATCAATAAGATGGAACGTTGATTAGTTACCTACATAGTTTCGAACATGGCCGGGAGACATTTAAGACGTGTTATATGGGACGGTAACGAGCGATATTCATAGTTTAATGTTGGATTAATAAAAAAATTATTTACTAATTCAGATTCTTATCACACAATTTGTGTTTTGATTTCTGTGCCATTATCACTTAAGGCGTATCGTTACTCGTTATCACCGAATATCAAAAACAAACAAAACCAGATAAAGTATTGATGTTTTTCATTCAGACGGAGGGACACAATATACAACATACAATATAGTCTATATACATGATACATCTCGATGACTGAAAGTGAAAGTGTCACATATTCTGTGATACTATATTACCATAATACCATTATATTATGCAAGTGCACAACGAACGCTATGTAGGTACCTTGTAATTTGGTAGAAGTATCTATAGTATAATTACATTGATTACTATAATTAATGGTACTACTTAAGGGAATATTTTGTTTGGCATTTGATGGTTAACGTCTTTGTACAAAACTATCAGGAGGAAAGGGAGGTACCTAAACTTTTTTTTTTTTACATTTTCGAACCGACGAACCCGCGGAAATTGCTTTTGCATTACAACCGCGGTGTAGTGAGGTACCTACCTAACACGAAAACAATTGTAATTTTTTTTTTGTTATTTTCATAAATATTTTTATATTATCAAATTTAATTGATCAGTGTTTTCAGAATTTATGACCCTGTTATTTTTTTTTTGTGTTCTGATGACTGATGTTGGTTTATTTTTTACTTCAGCCCTACATTTTGTACAAGAAAAATGGATTTTATTCGTCATGTACGTGTACATAGTGTTTGTGCCTAGTGTTGTATGAAAACAATTCTACAATACAATTCTACAAATATTAGTATTTCTATAAAAATACTGGCTACATTTCTAAAACAAGAGTAGTTTAATGTTTATATACCCAGGTGGACGGTGGTACAATTTTAGATTCTGTGTAGATGTATATAAATGTATTGATTTTACAAATAATGGGTATTATTTTCATTTTTCTTATGTGCATAGGTACACGATAAGACGGTAGGTAGACTAAATAATGCTTTGATTTCCAAATTCAGTATCTTTTATGGTGGGAAAGTGAATTTAGTTGATAATTTTGATAGGTGAAAATAGAAAATTCACTGATTTTGGAAAATTAAACAAATTAAGGAAAAACGGGGATTTATACGCAAAACTAATTTTCAACAAAATCGATTAAGTTTTTTTGGCGTAAATCAAAAACGAATAGCTATATTGATTTTTGGAATTTTTAAAGAAAGTTTATATTACAATTTTCTATATACCAAACATTTTGAGCTGTTTATAAGCGTGAACAATTTTTGATTTTTTTAGTTTTTTTTTCAATTACTACCATAGGTAATTTGATGCTCGATTAAAAAAATTTTAATTTTAATAAATTATTAGTCCACTAAAATTGTATTAATGTAATTTAAAAAAGTTGCTCTGCTGAACAGTAGGTTACAAGGGAGTCACTGTATAATGGATGGTATATTGGTATTAAATTTGAATTCAATGATATAATATCATTGTATAAGAAAAACGAATCTGAGCGGAGAAGGTATGTCAGTCTGGGTATAAGACACATTATACACTTATCTATATGGTATTAAAATAAATTGACCTATAATAGGTAAATATAATAAATTCCAATTAATCATATCACAATATCCTTTAGGTACTTATAAAGCGTTATACATCAACAACAAACCTTAATACTATCATAGATATATAACAGTATACTTTAGAAGTATCAAGTACAAGTACCCATGAATAATATTATACAATCACAACAAAATAACTAAAATAGTTATTCTAGGTTTTTATTATGTAATTTCGTCCAAATTTGAGCTTTAAATGCTTATAACAAAAAACTGTGACAAAGGATATTTAATATTTTTCAAATATCATTGTAACAATATAGTAGGAGACTTGTTTTAAATTTACAAGTATTTTTAATCAACAAATAAAGTTTTATCAACATTCAAAGAAAAAAAGGTGCTCTGGCGCTCTGCTGTACAGTAGGTTACAAGTGGATCACTGTATAATGGATGGTATTAAATTTGAAATCAATGATATAATATCATTGTATAAGAAAAACGATTCTGAGCGGAGACAATGTGTCAGTCTAGGCATAAGGCATATTATATACATTATAAATTATAATATATATTATAAATTGACGTTTAATAGGTACCTACCTATCTATAATAAATTCCAAATTAATCATATCACAATATCCATTAGTTACTTATAAGGCGTTAACAATCAACAATAAACCGTGATACTATCTTAGATATATAATAGTACACTTTAGAAGTTTCAAGTACCCACGAATAATATTATACACTCACAACAAAATAACTAAAATAGTTATTCTAGGTTTTTTATTATGTAATTTCTTCCACATTTGAACTTAAAATGACTATAAAAATAAACTGTGCTTATGTATTTTTTAGATTTTTTGGTAACAGAATTAACTACTTACGTGGAATCTTGTTTTAAATTTTCAATCCTTAGCTATAAAAGTTGAACATTTTATAAATTATTAACTATAAAATAATTATTAAATTTTGTCCAAATTCGATCTTTAAATGTTTATAAAAAAAAATTGTGCCTATGTATTTTTAATATTTTTCAACTCATATTGTAACAATATATCAGGAGACTTGTATTAAATTTTTAAACTTTTTGGCAAAACAGATAATACTCAATTGATATTTATAGAAAAAAAACTAAAAAAATTGAAAACTGAAAATGTCCGTAAACAGCTCAAAAAAAGTCAAAAAAAGTCGAAATATTTTCAAAATAGCATGGTGTATAGGAAATGCTAATATAAATATTCAGTGAAATTTTCATGAATCTACAGTCATTCGTTTCTGAATTACAACAAAATAAGGAAATCGCTACACGAGAAATCGAGTGAATATCCAATGTTGTAAAAATTTGAATTTCAAACGCTCATAAAAATGTTATATGATTTTCTTATAGACATTTTTTTTTTTGATAAAGGTAGATAATCTTATAAGAAATCTTGTATTAAATTTTAAAATCTTAGATTTAAAAATAAACTTTTTTACGAATATTTAACTCAAAATAATTTGCTAATTTTCGTGATTTTTCCGTATTTTGTCAATTTTTTAACTTTAAAATTTAAATGTTTTAAAAAAAAAAACTGTGACTAAGGATTTTTAATATTTTTCATCTGCCTTTGAAACAATATGCTAGGAGCCTTCTATTAATTTTTCGAGATTTCTTAACCAAAAAATAAAATGTTATTGATATTTTTAGAAAAAAAACGGAAAATAAAAATATCCCTAAACAGTTTAAAATAAATCAAAATGTTATCGTGTATATAAAATGCAAATATAAACAATCAGTGAAAATTTCATGTATCTACGGTAATTTGTTTTAAAGTTTTTTTTTTTTTTTTTTTGGCATAAACAATCTATACTATTTGAAGCACAATAAGTTTATATGATAAGATCTTATCATAGAGTAATAGAACATGATTAGTTTGAATAAGCAGCCACCCATTAGTGGTTCTTGGCTAATGAAATTTTTTTTTTTTAATTGTTTATATTATTATTATTCAGAGAGTTAGACATTAAAGTTTTGTAAAAGGTCACGGCACCACTTTCTTTTTAACCTACGGTTTGGGTTTCCTGGGAGTGTAAGGATGTCTTTTATAAGAGGATTTGTATGATTTTGAAGTCGTTTATGGAAACATGTTTAGAAAATGCGTGCTTTCGCTTCTATTGTTCTCATACAGAGATCGTTATGAAGGGCTAGATTAGATATATAGGGGGGAGCATTGGACAATCGTCGGAGCGAAATATTTTGGAATGTTTGGATTCTGTTTATATTTGATTTTTTTGCCGCACCCCATAATTGTAGTCCATACGTCCACATTAGCTTGAGAAGAGATTTGTAGATTAGTAGTTTGATGTTAAGGGGGGAACACTTATTTCTAATTAACAGGGGTCTGAGAATACGCATGCGATTATTTAAGGATAGCCTTTTGGATTGAAGGTGGTTTTTCCACGTCAGTCTTTTGTCAAGGATTAGCCCTAAGTATCTGACCGTGTCGGATGCAGGCACGTAGCCAGAAAATTTCTACTAGGGGGGCCAATAATGTTTGGCCCTTTTATTACTTTCCAAAATTTTTCTTTATGAAATTCTTGTAAGGGGTATGCAATACAAAGAATCTTATTAATTTAAATAATTTACCTTTAGTTGGTAATTGGTTAAAATTATTTTTTTCACAACAAGTTATACCTAATACTTACTTATTTAAGAATTACAAAAATAGAAAGTACCTGTAACAAAAAAAAAAATAAATATAGAATTACCTACATCTTCACTTATGGGATACATTTTTCATGCTATGAAAAATAAATCTACATACATATTTAAAATAATAAGCTGCTTCAATTGTTTAACTTCAAAAATTAATTCATATTTGAATACTTATCAAAAATAATAGAGATAAATGATCATCGATTTTTAAATTAATATAATTTTTAAAGTAACTCAAATTTATTAAAAAAAAAAAAAAACACATACTAGTAGAAAATATTAATAATACACTTATACTTATATAAATATTAAACAGTGCAATATAAAATAATTTTTCTGTTTTTATGATTTTCCGAAAACAATTGTACAAAAATATCTAGATCTAAGTTTTTAGAATTTTTTTTTTTATGCTCATTGAAGCTAAATTATTTAAACGATCATTTGTCATGCGATTCCTCAGAAAGGTTTTCAGTCGTCTCAGACATGAAAAAGTTCTTTCCCAAGCTAACTTAGCATAGACTTATAACTGCGGCTAATATATTATTGTTTTTAAAAAGGGTATCAAGACCCTATTATATTGTATGTTTTTCAGATAAAGTTATCCACGGTTCCCCGAATATAAAAATTAAATTATTACAATAATAATTGTATTACCTAATAGTAATCACAATAGATTTCTCTCAATGTGCATAATCACATTTTTGATAATTGGTAAAAATAATTATATTTTGAATTTGGGGGGGCCGGCCTTGGGCCAGAGTATATTTAGGGTGGGCCCGGCCCACCCAGGCCCCCCCTGGCTACGTGCCTGGTCGGATGTGGGAATTGGTATGTTGTTAAGGGTAATGTTTGGGCATATTCCTTGTTTAAGCGTAAACGTTGTGTGTACCGATTTATTTTGGTTAATTTGGACACGCCATTTTTCATACCACTTAGACAAGTGATTGAGATGCATTTGTAAGTTTGTTGATGCAATTACAGGATTGTTTTAAAGTTACAAAAAAAACCAAATTCAATTTTGTGAAAATCGATTTTACTTAAAAATTCCCGTTTTTCACGGTGCTTTTGAAAAATACTGGGAATCTTAAATTTTGACCTCCCTAATGCACCAAAAATATTCACTTTCCCATCGAATAAAATACTGAAGTTGAAAATTGAAACATTATTTCGACTACTTATTAAATTTTAATTTATTAAGTTTAAATTTTATAAATTTTAAATTTATAAAAGGAGGTAAGTGGATTTCACTCTGCTGCACAGTAGCCTGTAGGTCACAATAGTGGGTCACTGTATAATGATCAATGGATGGAATTAAAATTGAATTCATTGATATAATATTATTGTATACGAAAAACTATTCTGGGCGGTGACGGGTTGTCAGTGTGGATATTTTATATTATATTTATAATATTATTACTTATTTTTGATACAGTAGCTGGTAAGTTGAACTAATATGATAAAATTATAAACTAAATTACAAACTTTGTCCAAATTTAAACATAAAATCACCATAAAAAAGGTGGGAAGGTGGATGTCGCTCTGCTGTACAGTAGGTTACAAGTGGGTCACTGTATAATGGATGCTATTAAATTTGAATTCAATGATACAATATCATTGTATAAGAAAAACGATTCTGAGCAAAGACGGTATGTTAGTGTAGGTTTAAGACAAATTATATACATATCTATGGTATAAAAAAAAATTGACCTATAATAAATTCCAAATTAATCATATCACATTATCACAATATCCATTAGGTAGGTACTTATAACACGTTATACATCAACATCAATAACAAACCCTGATACTATCATAGATATATAATAGTACACTATTTAGAAGTTTCAAGTAGGTACAAACGAATAATATTATATAATCACAACAAAATAACTAGGTTTTTTAATATGTAATTTCGTCCAAATTTGAACATAAAATGACTATAAAAATAAACTGTGATTGTATATTTTTTAGATTTTTCGGTAAGAAAATTAACTACTTACGTGGAATCTTGTTTTAAATTTTCAATCCGTAGCTATAAAAGTTATACATTTTATAAATTATTAATTATAAAACAATTATTAAATTTTAAATTTGGTAAATTTTGTCAACATTTTATTTTTTAATCATTTTATAATTTATTAATTACGATGATTAATGATTAAAGATTTTGAAAAATTCTGTCAAAATTCGATGTTTAAATGCTTATAAAAAAAAATGTTGCCTATGTATTTTTAATATTTTTCAACTGATATTGTAACAATATATCAGGAGCCTTGTAACAAATTTTTACATTTTTTGGCCCAACAGATAAAACTTTATTGATATTCATAGAAAAAAAAACAAAAAAAATTGAAAAATGAAAATATCCGTAAATAGCTCAAAAAGGATTAAAATATTTTCAAAATTGTATGGTGTATAGGAAATGCTAATATAAACATTCAGTGAAATTTTCATGTATCTATAGATATTCGTTTATGAATAAGCGGAAAACCTAACCCATTGTAAAATCAATACATTCATCGTTTCACTCAGAATCTAAATATGTTAATATATTTTTGAGATTTTTTAGTTACAAAATTAAAAAAAAAAAAAAAACATCATTGTAAAATCAATACATTCATTTTTCCACTCAGAATCTAAAATGATTTGATAGTGAAAAATGTATGTAACGACGTAAGTAGGTTAACTGTACCCAAAAAATCTCAAAAATATATCAACATATTTTATATTCTGAGTGAAACGATGAATGTATTGATTTTACAATGATGTGTGTTTTTTTATTTTTTATTTTTTTCATTTTTGTGTCTGTGTACACGATAAGAAGTCGAAATAATGCTTCGATTTTCGACTTCAGTATCTTGTTCGATTGGAAAGTGAATATCGTTGGTGCATTGGGGAGGTCAACATTTAAAATTCCCAGTACTTTTCAAAAGCGAAAATAAAAATAAAATTAAAATTAAGAAAAAACGGGAATTCTTACGCAAAATCGATTTTTCAGAAAATTGAATTTGGTTTTTGGTGTAACTTTAAAACAAATAACCGTTTTTTGCATATGGTACGTAAGACTTTATAAGTCTCTTTGTGACAAGACTGTGTTAAAACTATAATTTACATCTAGATTCTAGATTGTACGAATAAATGAAAATCAGTAGATATGTGTTCGTTTATCACGATGTTCGCATATCACGTTATTCATTATTAGGTACTTATATTTATTACCTAGTATTTTATACCAGCATTTTTAAAAATCAAGTTTTATTTCACAATAGTTTAAAAATATCCAAAACATGCAATGGTGTCCTCCGTCCATCATATTAATCATTAATGAATATAGGTACCTATACCTATATTAAAATTTGTATACCCGTGTTTAAATTATTTTTGTCATGTTTATATAGGTACCTACTTATTTTTTAGTTTTTTATTTCAAAAATTGTAATAGGTTTATGAATTTTTCAAAAATAATATAAAAATGTAGCTGCATAAATTTAAGCATATTTTGAAAATGTTGACTTCATATTTCGATAGTTTTTAGTGCAACAAGTCAAGTCCCGAATCCTAAATTTATTTATATACGAAAACTGTAAAAACTTGGTTTTAATCTATACTGAACCCCTCCCTCCCCCCCATTTCATAATTCAGTTTACGCCACTGACTGTACAGCAGAGCGACATCCACTTATCCGCTTTTTTTAAATTTATTTTTGTGTCTTTGTACACCATAATAGTAGTCAAAATTATGCTTCAATTTTCAACTTCAGTATCTTGTTCGATTGGAAAGTGAATATTGTAGGTGCATTGGGGAGGTCAAAATTTAAAATGTCCAGTATTTTTCAAAAGCGCCAAGAAAAACAAAAGAAAAAATAAGGAAAAACGGGAATGTTTACGCAAAACCGATTTTTAACAAAATCGATTTCGGTTTTTGGTGTAACTTTAACTTAAATTTTAACTGGTTGTTTATATTTGCATTTTCTATACACCATAAAAATTTCAAAATATTTTGATTTGTTGTAATATTATTACACAGTGTCTTAGTTGAGGGTCATGTTTTTCGTGTTTCTTTACATGTATATAGCTAGCATAAAATGTGTGCATACTATGGACCGTGCAAAACCGTCCAGATATACAGTTTTTTTGGAGCGCATGTAACTCTACCACGAGTACATTTTTTTAGTGCAAACTCCGTCAGGAAAATAAAACATTTAAAGTTGGGTTGGGTTCATATAAACTCCACCAGTGAAGAAAATCAAGTAACAGTATACAATTAATATAGTACACTAATTATTATGAAACAAAAAATCGTAATTTTATAATAATAATCATCCTTATTAATAATAGGCAGTTAAATATGCGTATATGCCAAAAAATATATAAAACTTTATAATAAAAATAATAAATGCCCGAACAAATCATACTAATTGTAATGGTCAGTATTAAATTAAAAAATCATGATGGATAATTGTAATAATCAAAAAATATATATAGGTACCGTACCGTACTATGAGAATTAAGAAAATAATAACATATGGTATAAATCTCAAGTGTGTACGGTTATTTGTTTTTGAATTACAACAAAATAAGAAAATTGCTAATTATAAGCCCCTGGTCACAACTCTGCTTTCAGATTTTTGAGTAAATAAATTTCTTGGGAGTATTATACTCAAAAATTATGCAAGTTTAGCCCCACCGCTACCTACGGATTTTTAGGGGGTATTTTTGGTCCCAAGGCAGGGTGTTGAAAAATCGACTTACAACTTTTATTACAAAATATATCATTAAACAGTCTGACTATATATGTGTACTAAACTATGATTTGTTTGCTCCACATGAGGATACCATCAGAGACATAGACCAATTTCTAGCTGTCTGTTGAGTAGGTATGAAAAGTTTTGGAATTTGATCTTAGCAAATAGTACTTATGAGTACACTCCCCGGACACCTACTATAGTACTAAAGCATTTTTGAAATCAAATCAAATCAAATAACGAATGTCCGGAAAAATATTAACTTTGTTAGGAAAAATTCATTTAAATACAGATAAAAAAAAAATTTTTTTTATTTTTTTATTTTTAAAGCTATTAGTCTAAACTATGAAAAAAAAAAACTTAAAAGATACTTTAATTATTGATGCTTGGTCAATAAAGGGTTTACAAAAAATATTCAAAATCATAAAATAATTTATAACATATTTTTTTTTGTTTTCAAAATACATTTACAAGAAATTGGCAATTTTTGGAATGTAGACATTTTTCTTGAAGGAAAGGCAGCATCACATTTATTACATTTGTAAGGATTCACACCTAAGTGTTTTCTGTTATTGTGGTATCCCAAATTCCGGTTGCTATTGAATGTTTTATTGCAAAAATTGCAGAGGATTCGTTCCTTATTATGAAGCTGTCGGGTGTGTTTACGTATGTTTGAATGGTCGTTGAATCTGGAATCACATTTCTCGCATTCAAATCTTTTTAAACTGGCGTGTTGCTGTTGGTGCTGCGATTCTTGGAATTTTGTATTGAACATTCTTGGGCAAAAGTTACATGGACATTTTTGTCTTGTATGTATCTCCATATGTCGTTTAAACCAACATTTGAATTTGAATATTTTGTTACATTGCGTGCACTTATACTCTTGTTTTTCTTTGCCGTTATCATAGTTGTCTTCATTGTTACTGTCCCCATCGGTTTCACCATTGCGGCATTGCCATCATCACTGTCAAGAAATACACTGTCTGTATCTTCTCCTTTGTTGCTATGTACAGCAGTGTTAACTAAAAACATTTAGTTACATATTATATAAAGAAAGCAAAAATAATTAATTTGAACAGTACCTAGTTAAATATTTTACCTGTTCCATGCATACGATGAATGAGGTCTGAAGAATTGCTTTCGTTAAAAACTGTTCCTTCAAATTCATAACCGCCAACAAAATATTTTCGATTTTTATTTCAGTATCAACGTTTGCTTTAGTTCTAATAAAAGTTCTGAAAAAATGATTAACTATTTTAAAAATTAGAAAACTATGTACCTATTTCACTCATATTTCATAAACCAATTTCCATATTCAAAATATATCAAACCTAATAAAATATTTTATAAATACCTATTCAAACGTATAATTACGATTTAGACCCAGATTTTTGTAAAAGCTATTTTTTTATAATTGGGCATAATTGTTTGTTGCCAATTCTATACTGTATAGAAATTTATTAAATATGAGTATATGACCCTACTCTCTCATATATAGAATGTCTCCAAATGGTAGGTGTACAACCATAAATCAAAATTTGAATTTAATAAGTCATTAACTTTTTGATAGTTTCAAAAAAAATTATTATTGAACTATGTTAATGATTTCTAAAACAAATTGTATTAACAAATTACATTTTAACTGAATGCAATTATTTGAGAGTTAGTCAATACAACGGTTCTTATGAGACTATGTTCTTATGTTACTCTATAATACTTGTCCGTTTTCAAGAGTATCAGAATTGAAAAAGCTGGTAAGTGGATGTCACTCTGCTGTATAGTAGGCTACAAGTGGGTCAATGTATAATGGATTGTATTAAAGTTGAATTCAATGATATAATATCATTGTATAAGAAAAACGATCCAGAGCAGAGACGGTTTGTCAATCTGAATTTTTTATATTGTTATTATTTATTATAGCCTGTTTAATATTAATTATTGTACACCATTCTAAAACCACCAGTACTGTTATTATTACTAATGCTGCTCACACACACTGTAATTGTACACACATTCACATTATAATTATGTAACTAGAAAATTATTACCAAACTTTATAACTGCCGGATCGGCGATAATTAATTAGGTAAATAAATGTTATAATAAAATATATTTACTAATATAAGCTAACAAGACCATCTCAGTTCAGAATTATTTTTCATAATATGCATTATGCAATGTTTTAGTGACCTACTCAATGCCAAGGTAAACTAAAGACCTACTGAACAACAGATCGGTTTCCTACTTGCCCAATTTTTTCTTTGTATAGAACAATTTTTGACTTGTAAATTTTACAAGTTAAGAAAATAACTTTGATCTTAACTTATGTATATTTTAATGAACGAGTTGCCATGGGCAGTATAATTAAAATATGTAAAGTCATATAACACTATGAAGTAAATTTAAGTCTTACCCCATGAGTTCAGAAGAGTGGTTTTTGTTAAGATGTGTTCCTTCAAATGTATATCCCTCTATAACATCTCTTTCAGTTTTTATCTTGATCTTAGATGTGTCTTCTCTTTCAGTTTTGCATGTATTTATAAAAAATAAAATTATTATAAAAACTAATAATATGAAGATTATAATATAAAATTGGAGAATTATTTTATGTTGTTCATAAAACAAATTTATATTACAATTTGAAGTAAGCCCATGTACTGACTAATCATTTAATTTCTTCTTGTTAAAATTATTGAAGATTCAAGCTCAACTTTTTTTGTTTTCCACTAACAACACCTTTATAAAATATTTTTTCCACCAATGGAATTATTTATATATTTGAATATTTAACTATAGATTCCTAATTAAAACAATATTTCAAATATTTTGATTGATAATAAGGTATAGTCTATTTATTCCACAAACCTATTCATATTATTGGTGATATTTCTATATAAGAACTGTTTAAAAAAATCTATCTCTTTCTTGGTTAAAGACATATTTTTTAAGAACAATTTCATTAAAGTAGTATCATCAAATTTCCTATTAAAAGATGTAAATTAAATTTTTAAATTTTTTCTTTCGTCAAAAGAATATCTAGTGACTTTAACCTCTCCGCTTCCCTCAAAGCAATATACTGTGCACTTGTACGTCCAATCGTAGAATACGGCTCAGTTGTATGGGATCCCCAAACAACTGATGCTTGTCTTCAACTAGAACGGGTCCAGCGAACATTTTTATGTTACATGAAACATTCTCTTAACGTAAACTGCACCCCTCACGAATCACGATTACACTCCTCTTCTCAGTTTGCTTAACTTATCCTCCCTAGCTGACCGTCGTCGCTTCAATAATCTCTTCTCTCTTTCCTTAACAAGCTCCTAACAGGCTTGATCGATTCCCCATCCCTTCTTTCTATCATTAACTTTAGAGTTCCTGTTAGGTCCACCCGCAATAATCATCCTTTCTTAATACCCTTCTGCACTAGAAACTATCTAAAAAACGAAAATATTACGAGAATAATGAAATTAGCCAATGAGGATCCGTTGTTCCTTTAATAGTTTTACTTTTGTATTCATTGTTTAGTTTAATTTTATATTTTATACTTTGTTTTATTATTCATATTATGTCATTGTATAATTGTATTGTACACCTAATTATTTCAACCTGGGCTCACGCCCGTTTATTCAATAAATAAATAAATAACTAAAAAAAAAAATTGATTTTTTTTATTATTTGGTAGATAACTTATGTATAAATTAGATTCAATGTACGAATTAAAAAATACATAAATTATTAAAACATAGTTTTCTAATATAAAATTCTTTCAAAATGTACGTTAAAATTACATTTAGTGATGCTACACTAGGGTGTTCCTTAATTTTCAATTTCAAAATATTTTTGGTCTCACCCTCTAAATCGGTGGTGTATATAAAAGTGAACTGCAAAAAATTTCAGGTCAATTAAATAAAGTTAACCCGTGCCGACTTGAAGTTAAAGTTTGAGCTTAATACATTTTTAAATAATTTTAGACAATTTTTGTATTTTCGTAAATATTTCGTAAACCATTATGAAAATCGTAATTTTTTATAATATGTTTTTTCAAGTAAATTAAATTTCCAATATATTTTATAGTATAACATTTTTTAATAAATCTATTAATTTATAAGATGCATAAGTTTTAATCTTAAAAAACAGAATTTCTCCACAAATTTATAATTTACATTTTATTATTTTATTGTAGGATTAATAATAATAATCTTAACTTATAATATTTGGTAAAATTATAAAATGTTCAATGTTCATAGTAATATTATGTACTTCTTATACACTTATTTGTGTAATTATTGGTTCTTCATATTTTCGTATTATACTCGTATAAATAATAAACGATAAGATTGTGAAAACGATTAAGATGTGTTGAAATACGTATTGTTTATGTATAACTTATCGCATTAATAGTTTCCGTAGGTATTAGTCTTGCTTTATAATTTATAAAAGATATTATTTTGTTAGTGATACTCATTCATTTCAGTTGTGTCAACGTCTTATGTGTTAAAGGTTATTATTGTGTTTGTCGTTAGTAATTCATAATAATTTAAATAGCAAAAATGTCAATAAAACTGAGAAGTGATTTTCAAATATTTTTAATTGAATCTCAAATCACACAAATTCATGGCTCAAAACTTCCATCCAACGGGCAAGTACTTTCTGTATTTTTCTACAATATGAGAACCGTTAATCTTACTACTAGGGAATGTGCGGCGTTAGCTGTACGAGAGTGTTGCATTTTTTGGGAAAAAGCCCGGATTCCTATTCGAGCTATTCATCATTGCATAACTAAATTAATTAACTTGTACGAGGAATGGAGTAATCTACAGAAAAATGCACAAAAAGTTGGTGAATCTTATCGGTTAAAAGAAAATGATTTAAAAAAATAGATTTGTTATTTGATATTGCTCGTTAAAATTAATTAAAATAGAAGTTGATAAACAGTTTCTAATAAACCAGCGTTTACCAGGGCGTCCTGGTTGTCTCGGAGGTATAGATATTAAAGGAGAAATAAAAGAAAATATTCACATTCAACGAAAGTTGAATGAATCGAAAAGAAAAGAAATGTATAATACAAGTTGTGCTTCAACTTCGACATTACTCGATAACTCATTTGAGCAAAATTTAGAAACTGATAGTCTAGACTCTAGAAAGTAGCGATTTATTGGAATTAGAGACCAGCATTAATTCTTTAGAGCTAATAGAACCACCAACTAAAAAAAAGAAATGCCGTGGAAAAATAAATTTTATAACACCAAAATTGGCCGGAGCGTTAGATAGATGTCAATTAAGTATTCAAGATTCTGTATATGTTCTCCAGGCTACTTTAGAAGCTTTAAATTATAATACAGACGATTACGTAATTAACCAGATTTCTATACACAGAGCATATTATAAAAAATTACGATTTTCATAATAGTTTACGAAATATTTACGGATATAGATTCTATATATTATCGTGTTACTATATTTTGTTATAAAATATTTCATGTTTGATTTAACTAGGTACATGAAATAGTTTTTCAAAATTGTTCAAATATTAGGTGATACTGTAAAGTTTTTAATATTAAAGTTGGAAATTATGGGCTATTCCTTTTAAAAAGTCTTCTTTACTTAAATGATCTTAGTCGTCTCATATTTGAAAAAATTTGTTATTCACGGTCTTTGCATTTGGGTTTAACACGTCTAAATTGTATTTGCTGAAATTATATGTCCTGACTACAATCGTCCTTTATACAATATTAAAGACGCTCATCCTTTTTAAATTAATCTATACATTTTTGTATAATTGAATGGGATGCGTTCAAAGTGGATACAAAGTTACAAACCCATTATGCCCATTTGATTTTACAGGAGATATTTTTAGGAATATTCTTATAACAATTCCGTAGCGTAACTGAAAGTATTGATGATCTCCTTCGTTGGTAGAAACTTGTATACACTATCTTAAAAATAATTTGTCAACGGTGATATTAAAACAACATTATTTTAAAGTGAATTCCTATACTATTCTAAATATTCTTGTTTGAGTCCTTATTATA